GGGAACAACACTCACTTATAAACTGGTTCGCAATAAGGAAGAAAACCTGATCGCAACGCGGTCGCGACCGAAGAAAGACATTCTAACAGCGGGAAAAGGTCTTTGTCTTCGTCTTTCAATACGTTCCACTTATTAATTAGCGGTGGCATGAGGAGGTTAATGTAATCCGGCTTATTAAGATGGTGTCCCACTGAATCAGCAAGCGTACCAATCGCGTCGTATAATATTAAAAGATTTTTGTGTTGGTATTTGCCTGAAAATCAAAATCGGAATTAGCCAAGGACGTCGAATTTCTGAAGATACGTTTGCAACGGGTATGCGCTTACCGAAAGCAAAGACGAGTGTTTCAAGGATAAATCCAAGATACGGGACTAATTCTGTACACGCTTCCTCCTCTAACGTGGCGAACGCCGAACACGCCGCTTCTTGAACACGTTTATTGCCATCGAGTACTCTTTTGAGTAATTCGGTCATTAAAGGCTTCAAATGTGTGTCGTGTGGCTGCGCGCAAACCCAATGCGAGTAACGACTCAATGTCCAGCATGTGATGGCGCGCACCAGTGCCTTTTTGTCGCTCAAGCAATTAATTAGATAAGGAATTAATTCGGATAAGTGTGGAATCATGCCGCCCATGCAACCTGTAACAGACAATTGTACATTAAATTAGAAATTCAGAAACATGAGAAGCTATTTTGTAAACTCACCTTCGGCAATCGCTCCCAGTGCTAATATTCCAGACTCTTTGATTTCCCAATCCTGATGGAAAAGCGTGTCCTTTAAGATTGGTATTAGAACCGGTAACAGCTCGTCCCTGAATACATTAGCTAGCATATCCAATGCGGCGGCCGAACATTTCCGTAAATTCCAATCACTAAGAGTTGATTCATCGTCACATCCATCTTCGGGGTCTATGTCTTCCTCGTCGCAACCACCGTTCTCATCGCCGTGTTTAACCAAACCGACATGGTGTGAATGATGTGTTTTCGATTTGTGAAATCTCGGTCTGATATCTTCTTCCCTGTCCGGGATCATTTCATCCTCTTCCACGTCTCCTTTCAGGAGTATTACGTCTATTTCAGAGTATTTCATACCTCTCACCTGCGAGAATAGATTCATGAATTCAGGCAATCGAATTACCACATGGTTCGCAGCAAATTTTCTCGCACAATCGATCACTTACTAATATAGGTACTAAATTAGTTAGATGTGGTCCAAGTGCGCCTTTACAAATCCGTTGCTCCGCTAAGGAAAGCCAGAATTCGCAAGCTTCTAAAGCAACACCTTCATCCGGATCCTGAGTCCTCATTAGCATATATTCTATTATATTGTGCATATGTGGTATTAATCTATCCATTCGAACTTCAAGCAGCATAACCAAAGCTCTGTAATAAATAACGTGTGTCATCAGAATTACAACGAACGATTACTTTGTAACAATCTTAGCTAGATAAGGAAATTGATAACACGCACCTGCAAACATTTTTTCTGACTTCTGGATCATCGTCATTAGCTAAATGGAAGAGATTCTCCAGGAAGCTATCTATATGAATCATAAGAGCCTGTGTACGATTAACAATGAATTGATTAACGCAGGCAATAGCGTGTGATCTAATTTTTGGGCTTGAATGTCTGAAAAATTGCAGGAACTTCGGGATCAGAACATTTAAAGGTCGATTAAGTGCATCCGAATCTAAGATTTCCGCCGAATCTTCGCAAATCTTTTGAAGAGCGCCAAATGCACCTTCGCAAACGTTTAAATCTTCTGAATCCAACATCTGACAAAGTACTGGCAAAAGCTCTGGCCATGTGGTCAAGTCACCTGTTCATAAATGAAAGACGAATTAGTACACCGAATAATCATTGATCTATCATTATATCATTCTTCGAAGTACATACCTCTGGATGCAACGGTAGTTATTAAAATACCAACGGTCGCCCGGATCAATGGAGACGGGTCTCCGACAGCTGACAGACATTCTTGCTTTATAAAATTTGTAACTTCAGGTAAAAACTTATCGAAATGAGCTTTAACGTTATTTTTCAATATCAGTCCACTAAGAGACCTCGTGGGTTCATCTTGAAAATAGAAGAAGTGATTAGAAGATTGCGCGTACAAGGCAATATCGGTAGAAGTTTGCGTTTAATATACATACCCTCTGAAGTAAGTTTTGTTAAAACAAAAATAAGGTAATTGTTGAAATCTGGAAATTTATTTAATTCCTCCAATTTCTGAGAGAGAGAGCTGTTAAGGAAAACATAGCCGATCGAACACTCGCAAAGTTTAATAACGGTTTGCACGTATTACAAAAAACATAAAAATTATTCATTTACATAACACCTACAGATAATTATCTGTAACAACTTTTGCTGTTATGTAATGAACATAGAAAATGTATTAATCGACAATGCAAATAAAAAAGGAAATTGAAATATAGTACGCGGAAGCCTTGCGTCGTTAAATATTCATGACTTAATGCCACCGTCAACTTGCATTCGAAAGTCTACATTCTGATTACATTGGGACAGCCTAATTATGATAATGATAACAAAACCGATGTCCAAAAACTACGAACAACAATATCTACAAACTAGAAACATGTAACACACGATAGTTTTGCTATAGAACCGTCGATATAAACACGACGAGATTCCTCGTGCGTGAGATCGTATGTACAAATACAGTACAAATATAAAAGGAGAGAGTGAGAAAGAACGAGACAGAAAAAAAAGCTATGCAAAAAATTCAAGTTGTCCTAACTGTACATTTTCGTAGCAGCTGTAGTTCACGACAATCACACTTCAATCCGAGGCATGTTTGCGCACAACATTTCTCGGAGCCAGTTTAATTAACATTATGGCCGCGACTATACGCAAAATTTATCGATTACAAGCGTGAAGAAAAACAAACTCGACGGCAACGTTTAACGGCATTTCGGACGCGGCCCGCGCCCGCGACAGCAATCGCGGTTATCATTCGTCGCATACACTGCCGTTCAAAAGTAACCGAACCACCACTCACATGTCCATGATCACCTGGAAATCTCTAACAGATGCAATTTCTTCGAACAGCGCTTCTTCGATCGCGATTACGATCTAGGCGAATACACGATATATAACAAGTGTGAAACGGAGAAAAATTACTTCTAGCGAGCTATCAAACGAAAACTTCAAATCGATAAACATCAGGCTGCTAGTGCGGTTCGAAATTGCGGAACGAGTAACTAGGACCCCAAGTGAACGAGCTCCGAAGAAAACCAGCTGTGCAGAGACGATCGAGATCGAATTGAAACGAAATTTCAGACGAAACTGTCGGTGAAGAACCTGTCGCCTCGGCGCTCTGCGCCGATCATGCGATCGGCATCAATTTCATGAGAAAGCATTTATACGTGTTGTCACACCGTTATAATACTGTTCATTCGAATGCGCTAGGTGTCCGGATGGTACTTATGGACGGTAGTGTATTTCTTGGCGCTTGAGCACGGCTCACGTGTTATTCGAGAAAAAGCTACGGACTTCTATCGGTCTTTTCTCATCGTTCCCTGTATTAGGCCGAGAGAGATAAGGGGCTCGCGAAAATCAACGAAAGCGTTTGCGAGCCCGATCAGGTGAGGAAACGAGGAAAATTCGTGTCTGTCGTGGTAGACGACGGTGTCCTAACAGCTTTTCAATCGAACCGTGGACGAGAAAAAAGAGGGTCCGTGACAGGCTGCGCAAAAGCGCGCCGAACGTTTCCGTGCCCTGGGCTTTGCGGAACAGCCTCGGGTAGCCTTGAAGCAGAGCTCGGGACACGGATCCGTCGGTTTCCCGTTGGAAATTCAACGGACGCGATCGAAATAGCAAGCTTCCACGGGGGAAAAGCACGCCCCACGATCGACCTAATCTACCCGCTTCTTCACTTGTGTTACCGCGTCGCGGATGTACTCACCGGGAACGAGATCCGCGGACGTATTTTTCACAGCACGGAACCGTTTTCGGCTCGAACGAAAAAGGATACTTCTTGCACAGCTCGCTGAGTAGCCGTGTCCGGGCTGTGGGACTCCTTGAGGAGTGTCAAGATTTGTCGAAGTCCGTCCTCTTGCGGTTGCCACGCCATTTTCATTGTGTTTTTCAACAGCACCACTGAACGCAGCCAGCCTTCTCTGACCTCGCAGATAAACGGAAACTCCCCACGGTTACCCCCACCACCGCGCCACGAAAGCATTGGAATACCGGCCGATGACGCCAGGATACCTCGGCTAAATTCCCCCCGGCCGCATCGTACAACATCGGTTTAATATTTCGCCGGAATTCCGCGAATAATCAGCATTATTTCGGGACCGCGGACCGATTTCGTATAATTCATACGGACAGACAATTGAATGTTTTCGAGGCTTAGCAGACGAACACTTCCGGCGACGGCAGAGACATCGATCGACTTATGGCCACGAACGTAGGCTCGAATGAAATTTCAAATGTATTGGACATACTGCGTACGCTTTTGCACAATTGGCCAATGTTTATAATGCGATTAATGATTCACGATTATTACCGAGGAGTCTCATTATCAATAGTAATTTGTGATTGCGATTGTATCGCAGGCCGTAGTCGAATAGAGTAAACGAAAAACTTCGATCGGTTGATGCCTCGACAATGCTGATTCGACTGGTAAACGTTGAGATAATAAATTATTAGGATTTCGAATGTAACGAGCACGTTTAACACTTCATTTAACGCAAAGAGAAAGGTTTCGAGATTTCTTTGGGATGGAGAAAGCAATGGCGATTTCATTCGTAAACGAACAAGTTGTTTCGACGAATGTAATCTGATAACTTTTTCAAATTATTAATTATTCGGAAGAAAATTTTTAAGTTCATTCTAGAAATATCTTTGTTGAAAGTTTCATTTAGTAGTAGGAAACTAGAAAATTTGTAGCAGGGCTTAGAAAATATGTAATTAACGATTGTAAATATATATAATTAAGCTGAACATTTATAATATATTATAATAATAATGTACCGTAATTAATTTTTCAATCATTTTTATTAGAAAGCAGTGGAATACGCGTACACATCATTGATCTAATACAAATTCTGACTAATTTAACGCGGACTCGCTAAAATATCTCAGAAGTAAATGAAAGTATTAAAAAAGATGTTTTTACAAAAGTCGTTCGGTACAAAGGTGGACATGAGATGATATAAATATTTCTTTCAGCGAATGAGGTAGCAGGGGAGATTTTAAGTTAGCTTGTTTCAAATGGAAAGTACAGTTTTCTTTTATTCATTATATTGTAGCGCTTTTCGAAACAATATTCAATTAGATGCTACATGATGATACCTCATTGTATATTTTACATGCACACTCGTCTTCATATTTTTCAATGTGTTATTTTTGTCTTGTTAGATATCCCTTCCGGAACATCGATACCACAATCTCATCATCACGAATTCTGCATTACGAAATCGTTGCAACACGTGCATCGTTGCCATGCCAAAAATGTTCTACAAGTGGCTGGAGTACTTCAGTTTCTTTTTTTTAGGTTTAGGTATTACGACCTTATTATTATTTTTTCAATTTCCTTCCACTTTTCGTCAAAAAGAACGACGCCTGTAACAAGAATGCCGAATATCAAATTGTTTGCATTCAACAATTTATTACGTATTCGTCGAGCAAAATTTGCTGCGATACAGCAGGTCCTTACAATTCAGACTGGATCGTATTTGTTGCAATTGGAGCCTACGAAACCTCGGTCGAGATCGCACTCATTTTCTCTTTGATATGACGTATGAGAACGTGATCTGGGTCTCCAAATTTCAATTCCTCCTGTACCAGATACGGCTAGGACGTCATTTAAGTAATCGCTCTACGGAGTAAAATAAATAATGTATAAAGATATTTCACAACTTTTCCCGGGTCTCTTACACTAGCTATTCCGCCGTAATTCGATTCCAGAGTGGCGAGGTGTTGCGGAGGATCTGTAGGAGTGGTTATCCTGACAGTTTTATCCGTGGAACTGGTTATTAAACATCCTGGCGCAACATGTATACCAGTGATGGCTTTTTTATGTTCGGTAGGATAAGTCTTGACTGCATTAAAATTTTCGTTCGGATCTAATACGTACAACTTCGCGGTACTGTCGCCTACATAAATGATGTCTCTCTGCATACATATGCACATAGGGAATGATTCGGTGATCTGTAATGCATTCGTTTGTATTATCAAGCTCCTACTACTATCCAAGGTGATTTCTTTCTACGCTTTCCTTACAGTAAAATCGTTGATAAACTTTCTCGTTCTATGATCCCATATGTATACTGTTTTGTCTTCGCTTGCCGACACGATGAACTGGGAATTCATGATCAGTCTAATAACAGGTCCTCGATGCGGTTTGTACATTACAATTGGAGTTGCTCCTGATCTAGTGTCATACACCGAAACGGTTTTGCAAAATGAACCTGTAGCGAACAAAGCCAGCTCCGGACAGGATGCCACGGACAGCACAGCACAGTCGATGGACCTAAAAAAATATTTATCGCTTATGTAAAAACGCCACGAGCCCCGAAAATGATACAGCACTTTGCACAGTGATTTCTGACGGAGCGAACGAAAGCATGCAAACAAATGCTAAGCTGTTTTGAATCTCTTCTCTACGAGAAACCTTATAACGAAAATAGTACCTTCAGTTTAGCATTACTAACTCTCTAATGGTTTCTTATTATTAAATTTGTTAAAGACAAAAGTTCCATGCCTTCCTCGCTCAGCCCTCCCATAACGAAAGCAGCGAAAGTGACCATGTTAGTTCTCATGTACATGTCATAAGTTTTGAAGTGGACAAGACCAGTGTCGGTAAGCGTCCATGCTTTAACAGTTTTGTCCCAACTGCAGCTATAGACTGTGTTGTCTATCGATGTTATGTCCCAAATCCATCCATCGTGGGCAAAGTTTATATGCGTAACATTCTCTTTCTCATTCTCTTCGTTGGGAAGCTTCCAACATACTAAGGATCGGTTCCTTGCTCCAGAAATACAAATATTTCCATTCTGTGTATAAAAAATTTATTAGCAAATTTATTAAATGCTGATAAAAATTGTATGAATACCAGATGCTCACATGCATTAAGTGTAATCCATCGATAGTACTGAAATGTATATTGTTAAGTGATAATCTCTCCATAGAACCTTCTATGGACTCTTCTTTTCTCCATAGCGATATTTGTTTCTCTAGTGCAACGCACGATAACTTCCAAAACAGCTTATCATCTTCAGCTGAAAAGAAACAATACATTTCAATCGAAATTAGAAGTATAATTCGTATTTAGCAAGTATTATTAGTATATACATATATTCTAAGCGGACGCATCTCTAACCCAGAAATTTAGAAAAAATTATGGAACCTTGACCCCGGTTAAAGTAAAATATAATAAGATGGTGGTTTAATTATTTACAGAATGATCGTTCATGCAAGGCTCAAGGTGGTATCAATTCGGGCTAACCAGGAGGCAAAATTGGGTAATCCGTATGCAGACACATGTGGCTAATTCTCTCTTTCCACATAGAGTCATCTCTTAAAACCTCGTTGAATTGTTTACACACTAAGCTTAAAGCATGTACCATGGTGGATGCATCTAGAAAAGAGCAGATGTAAAGAAATACCTGAAACAATAAAGTTATTCATAATTCCTAAATAGAAACGCAATGTATTTTAAGATATGCGTTCTTGATATTATATAACAGTTTATTAACAATACGTCAATCAAAGCCAGAGTTGTGTAAAAAAAAGTTATTTTAAAACATTTTGATACAACCGCTTTGTTATCGTACGTTCAAATAAGCTACGCATGTATATGTGTGAGAGTAGGCATTTAAAAACGGCGACCGTGCTCCACTGACGTTACCGTGAAACTCTCGAGACGTTCTACTTATTCTCTAATAGTACACGTTACAGTCCAGTGCTAACAGAGTTTATTCAACTTCATACATTGACTCGGAAAATATCTTTTCGTTTATCGTTCACGATGACGTTTAATAATTCGAGCACGTTTAAAAGACGCACTACAGATGACGTTTATTCCACTGTCTGTAAACACAGAATCGTCGTACTTTTTTTATTTACCGATATTCACGTTTCAGCGATCAAATGGTATAGTTGTTAAAATTTACTGAAAATTTACATCTGTGAAAGTTGATTTAACGAACTCGAATATCGAAGATGTTCGAAAGATCTTGGGAGCGCGATGCGTCAACGTTTTGCAGATTATTTCAATGATAGAACCGCGTACACTTGTAAGAAAATATATTTTTAAAAAATTGATTAATACAGACCTCGACTGGAAGGTCCAATAAAGATAGTCGGGAATTCGTTGGATCATCTTCAACTTGTTCGCAGCTTTGTTCTTCGTCGCTCATTTTATTGAAAATGGCCAGCACCGTGTGTTATCTTTCTAAACAATATCATTCGATCGACAGCTAACCGCCGATCCGTTAATTCACCGTGTAGCAAGAACAACGAGAAATGACTGTTGCTTTTCACCGACGTTATTATTGACCGTTTTGGTTCTGGGTGCACAATGCAGCCTTGGTGAGCCTTGCATGAGCGTATGACTGCGCATGACTCACTTACTGATCTCCGTTTTAGGACCAACGACCAACTCCCAAGAACAGATACAGGGCTGACAACCATAACCGTAGAAATTTCGAAATGAATCGGCTACAGCTACAGCTAAAAATTCGAAATTAATATTTCGATGAAGATCTTTTTCTTTCGATTACAATACTGATGGACCAATAAAGTTATAGTTTTTTTTTAAACAATAAATTGATTTATTAATTTACAGATCGATTTTGCTACATTTTCTCGTAAACGGCGTAACACAACGCGCATTGTTAGATTTAAAATCAATTAACAATCGTAATGTAAAAATAATATTTAAGCGATCATAATCGCATTATGACACGCCGTTTCTTTTTTAAATATAACAACCTTTACATTTGTTTGTATACTCTTCAATATATTGTATAGAAAGACAATACTTAAGGAAAGGTAAGTAATCATACTAAATATGTAGTCATTGTCTTGGAATATTTCTCTCCGCGATATTGTTTCACAACATGCATTCAACATTTGCACAAATTGTCTTTATATTATTGTAAATTTATCTATATCCATGATAAGTTCGTTGATAAATGCAAACACTTGTGTACAAATACAAAAATATGTTCATGCATAAAATATATCTGTGTGTCTCGTTTCTTTTTTTCGATTCAATGTGATATTCTGATAATTCGTCATTGTTATGAATTGTTGGTTTAATTGCTGTATTAAGTAGAAGATGTCCCGTCAACAATGTTGCATCAATCACCAGTTCTCGCACCAAAAGTGCACAGCAATATCATATAATTGCGCTATTATCTCACGAGCTACAAGGATCGTTCATCTTGAAATAATTCGTCAAGTTGATTGCCAAAAATGAAATTATAGCCCCGCTCGCGGATCCTATTTGCATGAAAGCACCCGCTTTCACGAGTATCTCCGGCAGCCTTGAATTTTTAAGTACAGACACTATGGCTAATTTCAAATAGGAAATCAAGCCTATTAAAATTGTCCACGCCGACACAACTAGAAAAACACCGATCGTAGTATGCTGCAGCGGTGGAGCAGACGACATTATCGCTAAATATATAACATAGCTTCCAGTACATGAACATATTATAGTTAAGTAAGTAATATGTTTCATGTCAAACATGGCATACCAATACGCTAACATACACACCAAAGGATTCGCAAATTGAGCTAATGTGATCGACAGTTTGTATGCTACATTTCCATACGGCAAACAAGAGTAAGATTGAATGCCAGGAAAAATACCATTGCTGAAGAAGCAGCAAACGGTCAATAGTACATATAAAAGATGTCGTATTTGTGGCTCGAGATCCTTATTGTGGATCGAGTCCAGCTTGTGTTCTGTTAACGGGCAAGGTTTTCTATCCTGCCTATGATCCGACGTATTAGGAATGCTTGCATGTGTTTCATTAGATATCGTATCGTCAGACTTATCAAGATCTCTTGTTCTTTGTACTAAGGACGAATACTCTAACACGATAAACGAAGTTAAAGATAAGAATAGGACGATAAATATGAAAAAAAAGTAATCGCTCGAGGAAAACATTAAGTTCGATTTCATGGCATCCATGGTATCGTTCTTAGAGACTGTACATTCTGAGTTGTCTGCAACTCCTTGAATCAGGGCAACTACGCTTGGCAGCACGCCGCTCAAGCCTTCCCCTATGAAGAACGATATTAAATAATTTTTGTTAAAATTGCGAAGATACGGCATAAATAGCACAGAACTGAAGCAGCCCACCAAAGCGTTGAAGAACGCTAGAATAAATAATACGAGACTATACTCGTTTCCGTTTATAACGATTGTTTTCGAATAGAAAAACGACAACAGTCCCATCGCGCAATTGCCTAGAAATAATAAACTTAATATCCACCAAAGCTCGTTCGTCTTCCACCGAAAATGTTGCAGAATCATGTAAAGCAAAGGTCCAACATTTGCAGCCTGTATTACTAGCACTAGATAAGACGGCAGAGTCCAGCCTTCAGGCGATGTGTTGATAAGTACTGGTACTTGCACATAGATTCCATTAATACCAATCCACGTAGATATACCGAATACAGCAACAAGAACATGAGTAACGATGCGACCTTTTCTTTGGCATTTCTCCGAATCTCGAGAAGCATCTGTCATTTTGTCATTTGCTTATACCAAAAAACAGATCCCGAACTTGTTCCTGAATAATGATCAAGAAGAAGTTTTAATACACGATCAAATTAATTTGCATTTTAGAAATTATACATGTATCTTGCAACCTAATTAATGTTCTCACCTAAACGTGTTTACAAGTCTTTTTTTTTTTTAAATTATTTTGTTTTACAAGATACCGTATTTCACCAACGATAGTACTTTATAATTAGGTTTACTTATGCAAAAATTTTAGAGCTACTGCATAGATGGTTGGTCGGGATTCTAGTGTACAGCATGCTCTTGCCGGAGAAACTGATGTGGTGAAATGATATGGCCTCTGCCTTCACAGCTATTCCTTAATCTGGACAATAAAATTTATCAGATAATATACAAAGTTTGTATGCTTAAATTGACAAAATGACAGTTAGATTTATGATAAAATATGGTTACATACATTGTCGTCTAACGTGGATCAGCGTAATTTGAATTTTGATAATGCTATCACAGAACTGATGATTGTACATACTTTGTTGAATATAGCTGTAGACACACACACACACACGCACATACATTGCAATGAATGACGTGGTGGAATTGCACATTTTGTATCGAGATGTGTTTCAAGTTTAATTTACAATTATGTATAAAATATTTATGTTCTAGAAGTATAAAGCCCTTTGAAGTACGTACACTTGTCTAAATAAAACCCAATTTCTTTCAAATATATATTGAAAATTTAAGTACAAATGCATGTATGTATATATATATATATTACTTGAATTTCATAAAATATTTGTTGCTGTACATTTTTCATAAGTGACCTTTTACCCCAACATCATGTGATGCAAGCATTTTTAATACTAGTAATGTATATGCATACATATAGCGTGCATAAAAAATCGTAACTTTACTATCACAAATCGTTGGTTTCTATCACAATCTTGTATGCACCCTATATATATATATACATATATATATATTCAACTATTTCTCCTACATTATAATCCCTAAGAGCCAGGCACTAAGAATATTAAAATTTTATCCTCTCTATCATTTTAGAACATTTTGCACAATTATATAATTTTTTATTCATATCATTACTTGTCTATTAGAAAAAGTATCATTGTTCGACGAGTGTCGAACATGGCGAGTAAGAATGAAACACTTTTGCATGATTAACCAGAACAAATGTGACTATTGCTCCGATCAATGAGCCCATTTGTGTAGCTACACCAGTGTAATATAGACCTCTGCCTGGGTCGGGCCTGAATAATGTAGTAATGCCCAATTTGATGAATCCTATTAAACCACTAATTAAAACCCACGATAAAACAACTAAAAATTCACCTAACCATGTACCTTGCAAAGGTGGTGTAGGTGATGTGGCAGCTAAGAAGCAGATAAAGCCAGACAGTATTATAAGAACCGTTGTTGAGGCAGTGAGAACACTTACTTTTGGTGTTTTTATAAAGAAACCTAAGCACATTGCCAATGGTCCAGACATTGCAGACAATGTAACAGTTAAATGATATGCAATATTTCCATATGGTAAACAGGAATATGATTGAATACTAGGCAATGTACCGTTACCTAAGAAACAAACGAGAGCTATCATAACCAGTAAGTACGAATACAGTTGTTTGGACATTGTCCATCCAGAGTCTGTCTTATAACTTGGCGGCGCTCTTGTATCTGTTGGTAGAGTCTCCATACTTCCTGGAGGCTTAACACGCTCGCCGATAGCCATAGACATATTATTCAGTCCTAGGAAAGACAAATAACATAGGAACAATATAGTGCCAGTGAAAATGAAAAAGGCCTGACACGAAAACCTGGGCTCCGGATAATGCGGCATAAATTCTACATGAGGCGACTCTAACGTTGTCGTATTCAAGCATGTTGGATTTCCACCAACACCTTGGGTCAATGCTACCACGCTGGGAATAAATCCGCTGAGTCCTTCTCCTATAAGATAGGTCACCAAATAAATTTCTCTGTAGTTCCTCATGTAAGGCATAAAGAGAACCGAGCTCGTACATCCAACGATGGCTGTTACAAACATCAGCGACAACAGAGCTGTGGAATGCTCACTGCCAAATACTATCGATGTTTCTTGGTACACGAAAGCCAATATAAATGTTGCTAACGCCGCTGCAGCCAGGAGCAAGTAGATAATGAGTTTGTCGCATACCCACGAACTATACCTAAAACACGATAATTACTTAATGGACTCATGGATTACGTACGACACTATATCTGTACGTAGAATACCTACTTTATATATAATGTGTAGAGTATTGGTCCCAAGTTGGCTATTTGAACTAATACTACCATATGTGCTGGAAGACTCCATCCTTCCGGAGAAGTATTAACTAGAAGAGGTAGTTGCACATATATACCGTTGATACCAACCCACGCACCAAGGCCGAACATCAGGGCGAGAAGGTCGACCGGCAACCTTCTGTTACTTAATTTCTGATTTAGCATCGTTGGTTGTTTTTCGTGCCTCAACAACGGGTCCACATAGGTCGGTTGACCTCGATGGCACGATTTATCCTGTTCTCTCGCCGTGTTTCACGATCGTATTAACACAAAAATCCACGAACTTCGCGCCTTACTTAAGCAATTCTCGATGTTCGATTTCTTTATTACCGTCTTATTCGCAGACAGTTTGTTTAAAAATACGTATATGTATCAAAAGAAAAAACGTTCTCTCGATGTACGAGCTATCTAGGAAGATTATTCAATACTGCTACGGTGTTGCAATCACAGTGATCGTTGATTTCTTTCCTTTTTTGTTACGCGGATGCTTCCCGGGACCGTTCTCCAGATTTAACGCAGGCTTCGCACTCGAGTTTATGCTTCTCTCAAGACATTTTTCTTCCGTTTTCCCGTGCCAGACATAACCTACGAAATGTCACGGGTCACAAGACGATCCTCGACGGGTCCAACTTTCGAATCGCGCATGCACGTTTGAAATTCGCGGCTGCGTGTTCTAGTTTTTTAATGAGAAAGCGTTAGAAACGACACTTTGCGAAACCAGTTTGGCAAAAACTATGTATGCATGTATGTTATAGGCACGGACGATTGATATGCAAATCGAATGACTGTCGCGGCACAACTGCTGTTTCCGATGATTAACGGCAACTCGAAACTGCTCCGTAAGTTATTGGTAGTTGACGTTTCTCTCCTTCGCCACGAGGTTATCAATATATTGGCCGATACGCCATGTCGCGTGTAATTATACGACAAACCTGATATGTCCCTTCCAATCGGATAGATAAAAGTGATACTGTCCTATTTTACAGGCGACCGTCATGCGACCGTGTGTCCTTTCCTCCGTTAATTGCACCACAGCTCAGACCGCGTTCCCCTATGATCACAAATTGCGGTTTCTGCTGTATACTATATATGTATATCTACATTTTTAGCGACATACGACAGCAATTTTAATTTCTTTACCTATGAAATTATCTGTCGACATCTCCGTTAAATGCGCAACGACTCGCTCGCGCAGGTGTTTCGGATTATTCGCTAGGCGATAGATGTCGAATTTACGGAATCGAATAAGGGGCAACGCGCATCAAAAATCATGATGGATAAAATAACAAAAAAATGTTTACATCTTGAGAAATGCTCTTCTACTGTAAAATGCGCATATGCGTACATATATCTTGAATTACATGGTGTCGCGTATACATATAACCTGGAATTTCTCGAGGAAAATGTCGTGAAATTAGTCATGCAGACGCGGTTTCGCGTAGGTGTAGGTTATTCCGCGAAAAGAACGTCAGCGGTTACTAACTTCTATATTTTTCATCCGGAAAATATGAAAGAAATGTTCTTCTGCAGCATCTATCCGAAAGAAATTTTTTCGTCGTAGTCGTTTTTACAAATATTTATTCTTCGGAAAATTGTAGATATTTCAATTACGAATTCATAGAGATATAAATTAATTTTTGTAGAGATATAAATTTATTAATTTGATATAAATTTTTCGATAGCTACTACAGAACTGTACAACGAAGCTCCGTGTCAAATTTCAATTAATTTATTAGTTTTTTTTTTAGGTATAACGGTCACCGTATGGAAACCTACAATATCGAAAACGCGTTTCAAGTTTTCAAGCTCGGCGTCTCGCGCTAAATGGCCTGAACCTTGTCGTATTCGCGAATTTCGAAAGGAAAAATTTTTTTGGTTATGTTTGGTTCAAATGCTGCGGAAACGATTGAAAATATTAAGAGGAGAAAACCGATCTTTTCTTTTTGTCGGCACACCAAGATGCACGTTGCCCCATAAAACAATCACCGGAGAAAGTAAACGTGTATACAGTTGACTTTAAAAAACATTTATTGACTTACTGTTTCAATATACGTGCTCGGTCGTCCGTTACAGAACATCGCATCGGTGCCGTTGAAATGGGAACGGAGAACAACGTTTTTCTCACGTGAAGCGTAACGCGAATCCGATTGTTTTAAGCACGAAGAAACGCGACACACTCTATTCTACCGTACAATTGACATGTCACAATACAGAGAGAAGGTTGTCGCCGAGTTGCGCATGGACGAAGGATAGAGGAGGAAGTAAGAACCACCATCAGTTTTTGAATATAGCAAGAACTTTATAAAAGACGAGGCAGACTCACAGATGGTTTAAGTACATTAGTATGTATAATATATAATATATCCTCAAAACTCTTTTGGGAAACATGTGACGGTTGCGATCGCATTGTTTATATTTTTATTATTTTATCTTTTTTCTTTTCTCTGAATAGATCACACGGATGAAAAAAGGGCATCTTTTTTTCTTTTTTCTCTTGCGTTTAAGTAGGTGCGTTTACATCGTGCGTAAAAACGTTTACGAAACATACATCAATCGAAAAAGAGTCGTCACCGAAGGTAATGTAGAAGCTTTGAAAAAGGAAACGCCTCCTCCGACTTCCTCCGGCCGTCGGGTGCCGTTAATTATCGTCGTGGAAGGAACGTTAGCGTTCTCTCGTAATTACCGTGAGCCGGTTTATCGCAGCCACGAATACTGATGACCGTGGATAGTGAGTTTCTTTTTTTTTTCCTCGCAACGTCCGGACTGTTCGTCGTCGAGGCTCATATTTTCATTTTTTTTTCGCTTTTCTTTTCTTTTTTTTATGTTTCCAAGCGACGACAAAGTAGACGGCGGCGGAGGACGCGGGAGGGGCCGGAAGTGGCGACGCTGATCCACGAAAGAGGAAGTCGTGTGTCGATAAGAAAGAACGTGACGCCTAAATTCGACAGAAAAGACACGGAAAAAACATACTTACGGTAAAATTACTGCGAGAGAGAAATGAGCTTCGCGGCGGATCTAGGGTTACCAGATGGTACCACATCGGAAAGAGTACATACACTTCGTACTTCTACGGTTTTTTTTCACGTTATTATTCTTACAAATAAGTACAAAGACATCTCGTGTTTACTCAGCGTGTTCACCGCGAATCATCTAAGGAACGAACGCTTTTCGACAGCTTTTCAAATAGCTTTCTCTGTAAATCTGTGTCATATCAGGCTCAGATCGAAAGGTCTACGCAAACATAGAGAAACACCGTGTTCTATAAAGTATTTAATCCACTGTTAAACAGCTAAGAAGTTCGCGAGATCGATGCTAAACTGTCTACAGGAAACAAAAATGTTCGCGCAACCGAATAGAAGACCGAAAAAGACGCCAAACGGAAACGGTTCTGGCGTAGCCCGGCAAGAATAGATGTACTCTAAGAAGAGAGGATCTGGTAATCCTAGGTGTAATCGTGTCCCGGACGATCGTTTCTCGGTGAATTAACGTGGCCCGGACGTCGTCGCGAAAATGATCCTAGGGTTAGCTTGGTTATTGTTTCATGGTGTGTCGCCGTCTGCCAGCGCGCACGACGAACCGTTGCGTTACATATATGTATATATATATATTTTTTTTTTCGGATGTTCAGCTGTCTTATGGTACAAACGTTGTACGATGGGATAAATGATGGGATCTGTTTCGGTGATTCGATCGGAATGCCATCCGACGGGTTATCATCGTTCGCCAAGTCTCGGATCACGGAACTCGCAGATAACCGAAGCCGTCGATACCGTAAAAGAATAAATCTGCAACGGAAGACCGTCGCGGCGTCCACAGACACGTTCGCAGTCTACGACGATATTCGCATTTTACCGACGTTAGCTGCGAACGCGTTTCTCCGTCGGGCTCGAGGAATCCAGGAGTTACGTAAACTGCGGATGGAGGAAGGAATTGCGCCGCGAGACCGTTTGTTTCGCGACCGAATATTCTATTCACTTTACGATATGAATTCCGGGGAATCGCGGGAGAGCTGCCTAGCAGCTCTCTCTCTCTCTTCCCCGGCGAACGCTCGCCGATAGTAATGCCCTCGATATTTCAGGTCTCGATTTTAAGGAAAACCGATAACGCGGAGCCCCGGCCGCAGCGATATTAACATCCGCCTCCCCTTGAAAAGAGTTACAGACGCGGAATATCGATGGACAGGAATTAATTATGCGACGTCCGGGAGCGGGCTAGCAATATCTGGCCCGTAGAACGGGGTCTGGGTTAGAGGCCGTTGTCCGATATTTACATAGCCGGACAAAGGCTCCGTCCGAGCGGCTCGCGAGGCGTTCCGCAACTTCGTCGGAGGACGCGCGACGACGTCTGCTAGCATTGGTCCGGCAGGCCTCGTTCCGTCGTCGACTCCTTGCCGCAATCCTATTAATCAACGGCCCCCGAAAGGTCCCGGAGAGGTTAATTGCACCGATAGGCTGACGCAAACGGCCGCGACAGATTTCCCCGCGAACGCGAGAATCGGCGGTGGACGCGGCGCGGCGAGAATATTCGGCCGATAAGTCGCGAAACGCGAAACCGCGGCGATAACAGAGGCGACGAGAAAGACAGGGGAACAGGACTCCATCGACCCGACCGGCGTGGCGATCCGACCGATAAATCCCGAACGTGTGACAATTCCGAATCGTGTTGCGCGCCTCCTAGCCGACGTTGCCCACGCTCGGCCCTCGTGAGAGTGAATTTTAATTGACTGAAGTGCCGAGCCGAATCGCGGGCACGAGGATCGGCGAACAAGCGACCTCGTTAACTCGCCGTTTAAACTCCTCGCAACGCGTGCGAGGACGCGGACTGGTTTGTCCCGGAGGTCTCTGCTTCACGATCCTCAAATTGAATCTTCGTTGCACGGCATGATCCACTCGCCCGTGGCAACGAACCGAAGAGTTCGCTGGGTTCGCTGGTTCAGATCTCTTTGGCCTAGAATTTTAGGTTCGTTGTGGCCAGTGGATCGTATCGGGCTACAGTAATGTCTCTCTAATTGATGCCAAAGATTTACCACAAAAATGGGTAATTTGGGAAGGAGAGATACGATTATTCGAGCCTCGCGGTTTATTTTTATAGTTATAAATTGTCCAGAATTATAAAAACGAGCCGCACGGCTCGAATAATCGTATCTCCTCTTTCCAAGTTATCCATTTCAGTGGACAATCTGAGCGTCAGTAAGGGAGACATTGCTGTATATCCATTTTTTGATATACCGTTCACGGGTGTATTGGACAAATATTCCATGACCCTCGGCCGCTACGAAAAATAATTGCTGAAAAGACGCTCTTGCTCGTAATCTGACACTTTCGAAACAAACGTATCATGTTGCAGAACTGTCGCATCGAGGTTATGCCTCTGTGATCTTTCACAATATTGAATATTAATTATAGCCGGCGCAACCCGTTGACAAACGAATTCAATTAAGTTCAATCTGCGGATAAGAGATATATCATTTATTTTGCTACTTTATCGTTTGTACCGGCTTCGCGAGTTTTGCTGGCAATATTTGCTGATAATGTTGAAAATAATACGACAATGCGTACGTATACAGTGGCGCGAGAAACACAAACTTATCCGAGACGTGTTTGTCTCTTTTAATATAGTTAGTATAATAATTTAAACGATTTATCATAANCCTAGCCGACGTTGCCCACGCTCGGCCCTCGTGAGAGTGAATTTTAATTGACTGAAGTGCCGAGCCGAATCGCGGGCACGAGGATCGGCGAACAAGCGACCTCGTTAACTCGCCGTTTAAACTCCTCGCAACGCGTGCGAGGACGCGGACTGGTTTGTCCCGGAGGTCTCTGCTTCACGATCCTCAAATTGAATCTTCGTTGCACGGCATGATCCACTCGCCCGTGGCAACGAACCGAAGAGTTCGCTGGGTTCGCTGGTTCAGATCTCTTTGGCCTAGAATTTTAGGTTCGTTGTGGCCAGTGGATCGTATCGGGCTACAGTAATGTCTCTCTAATTGATGCCAAAGATTTACCACAAAAATGGGTAATTTGGGAAGGAGAGATACGATTATTCGAGCCTCGCGGTTTATTTTTATAGTTATAAATTGTCCAGAATTATAAAAACGAGCCGCACGGCTCGAATAATCGTATCTCCTCTTTCCAAGTTATCCATTTCAGTGGACAATCTGAGCGTCAGTAAGGGAGACATTGCTGTATATCCATTTTTTGATATACCGTTCACGGGTGTATTGGACAAATATTCCATGACCCTCGGCCGCTACGAAAAATAATTGCTGAAAAGACGCTCTTGCTCGTAATCTGACACTTTCGAAACAAACGTATCATGTTGCAGAACTGTCGCATCGAGGTTATGCCTCTGTGATCTTTCACAATATTGAATATTAATTATAGCCGGCGCAACCCGTTGACAAACGAATTCAATTAAGTTCAATCTGCGGATAAGAGATATATCATTTATTTTGCTACTTTATCGTTTGTACCGGCTTCGCGAGTTTTGCTGGCAATATTTGCTGATAATGTTGAAAATAATACGACAATGCGTACGTATACAGTGGCGCGAGAAACACAAACTTATCCGAGACGTGTTTGTCTCTTTTAATATAGTTAGTATAATAATTTAAACGATTTATCATAATTCGAAATGTCAGCATGTCACGAAGTGTTCGTAAACGGCTCTCTTGGTCGAAATTGTGTTAAGCGTAATTCGTTCATCCACTATCCCGGGATCTTTTCTGCAACTATTTCCTCGAGGCTCGCGCGAGGGCGACAGAATATTCGGCCGAATACAAACGCACATTCATCGGTGTCCCGTGCGTGGCCATATATTTTCATACACGTTCTATCGCGACCCCTTAAAATAAATAACCTTTTCGTTTCGCATCTCGCGTCTCGTTCTTCTTCGTCGCTTATCCTTTGGGCCTCTCGTCGCAGTGGCCAATCATAATACTCGAAAGCCTCGATCGGTAAAGGTCGTCTCTCGCCCAATAATGCAACGTCTGCACGCGACATCAGAGCAGCATCAACGTGACGTCGGTGAAGAAAAAAAGAGGTTAAACATGGGAGTCGATGCTGTGCTGCTGTAGCCATATGCCGCGGCGTTTCTATTTAAAATGCATGTAAATAACGCGAGTGTACCGAGGAGGGGGTAACTGTTCTGATAACGATTGAAACGTTGTACTTTTTCAGACAAGCGACGATCCTAAAATATCGAGGCCTATCCGGGAACCATTTTCCAGCCTTTGGCATCGTGGACTGGGCCTCCAGAGTCGCGGCTCGTCGCGCTGACAGACATCAGGATATCTCCTTCACGGTCGGATTTCGGGTGCGATTGTCAGAGCTGTTGTCACGCCTGTCGCAAGCGTGTTCGATAGAAAATCTCTGGATACGAAAGAACCGTGAAACATCGGTTCGTCGGACTTGATTTCCGGGGATATGGTTTTGCGGGGTGGTCGGCAAGGTATACAAGATATTCATCGGGATTGTACAGGATGTCCCAAAAATGTCTCGCAATAAGGCAAATAAGGGGTTCCTGAGGTCACTTGAAGTGACTTTTACCTTGGCGAAAATTTTCTCCGAGGCATTGCTAACGAGTTATTAACGAAAAACACTGACCAATGAGCGGCGAACTCGACGAGCGGCTCGAAGCGGCCGAGCCAATGAGCGGAACTGAGCTCCGCGCGCTCGTTGGCTGGGCCGTCTCGCGCCGGCGCCGAGCTCGCCTCTCATTGGTCGGCGTTTTTCGCTAATAACTCGTAAACAAAGCCGCGGATTGCATTTTCGCTGAGGAGAAAGTTACTTCGAACGACCTCAGGAGCCCTCCGTTTCCGGATTACGAGACATTTTTGGGACATTCTGTACGGCTCCGCCGGCTCGGAGAATGAACGGCGGCGGATCGAAAGAAAAACCGAGCTGCAACGCTGCTCGCGCGAGTGTCGCTTCGTTCGCGAGCGAGCACGATCGATAAAATCTGACAGATTGCACAACGATACAATTACGGTAGATACAATCGGGCGTTGTTGCCGACGATTCCCCGGGCTCGGCGAACGCTGTACAGTCTGCGTAGACACTGGGAGACGTTCGGTGCCGAGCGCCGGGCTCGTCGACGCTTCGCATCGGGGACAAGCATTCGGAGATGCTTCCGCATCTCTCTTTTGCAGGGACGAGAAGATGGCCGGGCGCGGTGATTGGCTGACAAGGTCTTCTTCAAGAAATTTGAAAATTTAGCGAGCAGGACATAGCCTTTGGACAACGAAGACGCTGAAGCCCCGCCGCAATACTTCCACAGAATTCCACAGGCGTCGTCCTTCATAAAAGAAAATATTCTTTGCTCCCTCAAGGTACTCGTTAACGTGTCCCCAAAAGCTTCAAGGACACGCCGCGCACGGTTGTTCGCCTAAATATCATAAATGTTTAAATTTGCCTAAATAATACAAAATGCTTAAATATCGCTTATTCGCAGAGTATCAAGCATTTGTCGCCGGACGTACAGAAACGGAACCAGAGTCATCAATCCGTGAAACCGTTCCAGCCATCGTTCCATCCCCGCGCACACAATAAGATGGGACAGTTTAAGTCGAGTACAATGCAGGAAGCAGCGCCACTTCATTCTACGCCTTCTCCGCAATTACGGGAACATACAGTTAAACGTCAGCGGGTCCTCGGCCGTCATAGGCGTAGGATCAACCGTCGAGGATCTTGGGATCGATCTTCCCTCGTCGTCCGCAGCTTTTCACCGTCACAAACACGGAAGATTCAATTTATCCGCGGTCTGGCCGCCGCGGCCCCCTTTTTGTCGCCACCCGAGGAAAACGTAATCTTAAGAGCGATACGAATTTAGCCGGCCGCCGCGATAAAATGGAAATAAGAAGGGCGATTTTCTCGGCCGGCGCCGCGGCGCAATTGAATAAATTCCCGCTGACTCGAAAACCGAGTTTCCGCGACGCGGCGACGGGAACATCATTCTCGGGGGATAATTACGGGCGGGACGCTGTTTGTTAGCTTTATCTTGTCCGAACGGCTCCCGGAGGCCGGCCCGCAAACTATGATTAGGATGTCGTTAGCGGCGACGCGGGGAACTACTATTCTTTCGCGATTAGAACCGCTGGTTCCCGCCGAGCGGCTTAAGGTTCAAATTAACCGGCGAAGTTGCGGCGCAAGTTCTCAGGCCAGCGAGGCCATTCGACTCGGCGATGAGGCCAGAAATCTTCGGAGATATCTTGCTTAGTCGCACAGAAACTCCTCGGGGTTGCGAAATGCAAATGCCCGGGGCGGTCCGCGGCGCGGCGGGACAAAATGGCGGCGACGCGGCGACCGTTGATCTCCGCTCGATCCCAACGATTCTCGTGAAATCCTTCTCCGGTTCGCACGCGTATAGGCACAACTCTCGTAATCTTCTTTCTCGTAAATCTTCAACGGTTTTAGTACAGTTATATACAAATGTATACAGAGACTCCGCTACGCCAGAGGAGGGATAAAACTTTTATGCGACGTATCCGTGTCCGCGGTGCGTCACCGGATTAAAGTCACCGATGGGTAAGCACGATTTATCGCTGAACTAGCGCCGCCGCCTGATTCGGCACCGGTCTCCTTGCCCGCGCTGGAAACGGTATCGCGATCCATCGAGTCGGGACGCGCGAGTGCCGCCGATGATTCGAGCGAAACGAACTTCGATAAAACCGCAAGATTGATGCGCGACATCGTCGACCGGACGTCGAGATCATAATTTGTAGCGTGATACATTAGTCGACCGGATTACGGAAAGATACATTGCAAATCAATACATCACTGGCACACGCGTTGCGAGCGATAAGAACGTATCAGTTAGGAATTCTTGTTATTCTCGAGGAGTCTCCTTAGTTCGACTGGCGCGATAGCGTTCTTTGCGTTTTGGAATTTAGTATCTGATAGTTCTGAGCTAACGTTCTTCTCGATACTTTGCCACGTTCACCGGTAACGAATGCTTCTCCGAAATGCTTCTATTATCAGAAGCATTATTATTATTATTAGCACCGTTATGTTCACTTCGTTTCCGTCTCCCGCAATCATTTTGTAAAATTCGCGCCCAGATTGCACACGAAAAATGGACAATTTGAGAAGTGGAGATAGGATTTTTATAGTTTTCATAGTCACCGATTGTCGACAACTATAAAAACGAGCCGCGAGGCTCGAGCAATCGTATCTCCTCTTCCCAAATTGTCCATTCTTGTGCGCAATCTCCGCGCGAATTAGAAAGAAATTACTGTACCATCGTCGAGATCGGAGTTGGAATATTGAACAGCTTGTTTCTTCCAATTAAATCCGGAAGGATCGCCCGGTCGAACTAGGCGGATCGTTCGAAGGGTCGGCAAATCATTGACGCTGAACGTGTTGCAGGTTCAGCGAACGGCGAGGACGCGAAGGAACAATTCCGCTCAAGGAGGCCGCGGTGAACGGAATGGCTTAACAGCGGAGCAATTAATTAATCGAGCAGCACGATCCAGCGGCGATGGACTCTAGCTTCCGGCACCGGGGCATTCAGGCAATCTACCGGCGCGGTACTCGACGAGTTTCGCGTGATACAGGTGCGCCCGAATCACCTGCGGGCACACGTGCGCCGTGCTTGACGGCGACGGCGACGGCGACGGCGACGACATCGACGACGACTCATGGTGGTCTATTAAACGCGTACGCGGTCGTGGACTGTGACGGTGCCGTATCGATCGTTAGCCACCGATGTGTCGGACCGGCACACCGACGTGCACGTATCGCGCATGCACACGTGTCCCCCAGTGTGCAGCGTCGCCTGCGAGCGCGATTAGAGAGAAACGGCGGCGCTGGGACGACCGCACTACCGGAACGGGAACGGAGCACTTAATGGGACGCCCTGTCGAAATCCTCTGAAACGCGTGGGAGGATCCTTGCGAGGACGCTCCCGAGTGCTTGGACCCTTTCAGTTGAGTTTGCGGCCTGCCAACGACAAGGAGCGTCGTCCTGCCGTCATCCTGCACGATGAACCGTGAAAAATCTGCCGAGCGCATTCTTCGAGATAGTATCATTATGTATAGGCATAGCCGCGACGTCGGCGAAGTCACGCTCGCGTGCATCAATGCGGAATAGATGCTCGATCGACGAATAATTGTACGCGGCGTGAATTGATCTCGGCGATGAATTTTAACCGACGCGAGAGAAGCTTGTCAGAGATTGTTGTTCGCTCTGTCACGAATTAGCGTTTCTTCTTGAAAACTGAAGGAGGGTAGACCGCGAGGACGGGAGCCAAGTACCAGGGCCAAGTACAGTAATGTCTCTCTAATTTACGTTCAGATCGTGCACAAAAAATAGACAATTTAGGAAGTGGGATTCGATCATTCGATCCTTGCGGTTCATTTTTATAGTCACGAATTGTCAACAACTGTAAAAACGAGCTGGAAGCCTCGAATAATCGTATCTCCTTTCCCCAAATTGTTCATTTTTGTGCGCAATCAGAGCGCAAATTAGGGAGAGGTTACTGTATCATCGTCGAGATCGGAGTTAGAATATTCAACAGCTTGTTTCTTCCAAAAAAATCCCGAAGGATCGCCTGGTCGAACTAGGCAGATCGTTCGAAGATCGATGCGCGATGTCGTCGACCGGACGTCGAGATAATAATTTGTAGCGTGATACATTAGTCGACCGGATTACGGAAAGATACATTGCAAATCAATACATCACTGGCACATGCGTTGCGAGCGATAAGAACGTATCAGTTAGGAATTCTTGTTATTCTCGAGGAGTCTCCTTAGTTCGACTGGCGCGATAGCGTTCTTTGCGTTTTGCAATTTAGTATGTGATAGTTCTGAGCTGATGTTCTTCTCGATACTTTGCCACTTTCACCGAATGCTTCTCCGAAATGCTTCTATTATCAGAAGCATTATTATTGTTAGCACCGTTATGTTTACTTCGTTTCCGTCTCTCGCAATCATTTTGGAAAATTCGCGCTCAGATTGCACACGAAAAATGGACAATTTGAGAAGTGGAGATAAGATTTTTATAGTTTTCATAGTCACCGATTGTCGACAACTATAAAAACGAGCCGCGAGGCTCGAACAAGCGTATCTCCTCTTCCCAAATTGTTCATTTTTGTGGACAAACTGAGCGTCAATTAGAGAGACATTACTGTACTTAGGATCGATGGGAGGGGATGGTCCTCGCGCGTAGGAACCTCCTTGGTTTCGAGCACTGTTCCATCGAACGACGTGACTGATTATCTTGTTGTTTTCAGGTAAACGCGCGCGCGCACAGCTAAAGAGACGAAGAAGACAAAGGGCCAGCGGTTCCTGAACGTGTCCCTTTGTGGCGGCCGCGGGTGGCCGGGTAGACCGGGCAAGCCTCGTGGCTAAATAAAACATTCACGTGGGAAGAGTGTTTCTCGAAGATCAAGAAGATCCGTTCGCGCGATGGCTTCCGGCAGATCAAAGGTGGAGAGGGGCTGTCTTCTGTGCTTTCGAGAACAAGAAAACCGGGGACCAGAGGAAACCGAAAGGAGATTGAAAAGTCGTGGAGCGAAGAGGAGATTCTCAAGCAGGTCCAAAGGGCCTTTGAGGCTCGAGAAGAGTCCAGGAGCCGCTGGGATTCGCGTGCCGTCGTCCCGATTCCACTTCGACGAATCGAAGTGTTAGCGTTAATTGGCGCGCTTCCGTCGGGCGAACGAGTCCGGGGAAAAAAAGGAGAATCCCGAGCCAGGGCCGGCGAGGAGGCTATAGTTAAACATCGAAACGTCGATCCCGGAGTGCTCGTCGACGGGACGGGACGAGCAGGAAATTAGGTGACCAAGCGTGCGAGATCCAAAAGGTCGGTTCGATGCGCGGCGACGTGCTCCCGGGGCGGAGAACGCGGCCTGGGTCACCGGGAAAACAAGTGTGCACCTTCGACGTGCTATAAATTCGCCGCTGCTTCGATCTAGGTCTTACATGTGACGCGACACGTTCGTGTTCCTACGCTCTGCACGGGGATATTTATTAACTCGAGCCCGGACTCCGTCTTTCTTGCCCCCGTGGTCACTTCCACCACGTGCAAAGAATAATGGCAGGAACGCGCTCCGCAACATGTAGCGGCCGCGACTGTTGCTTTACGACGTCGAATTTTTAATCGATGGCTGCATACGCGAGCAGCTTAAACAAGAAACAGACCTGTGTTTGCTTTCCATTTATAGAAACGACTCTGAAGGAAAGCTAGCTTGTTCGGAGACTTTTAAGTTCACCTAGCCAGTCGAAGAATTTTAATTTACCTCGGCCAGTCGAAGAATTTTAACAAAACTCAGCTGCTTGGCAAATTTTAATCGAATTCAAATAATTAAAGAATTCTAACTGAACTTTACTGCTCAGGGAATGTTAATCTAACGCGTTGAAGCGTTCCAACACCAACTTCTGGCTATTCAAAAAATTTTTACTCAATTCGACTCGTAGAAGAAATCTGACCGAACTCGACCGCTCAAAGAATCTGAACTTAACTCAACTGAAGAATTCTAACTCGACCAGTCGAAGCGTTCCAACAGCAACTTGGCTGCTCAAAGAATTTTTACTCAATTCGACTGGTAAAAGAAATCTGACCGAACTCGACCGCTCAAAGAATCTGAATTTAATTAAACCAGCTGAAGAATTCTAACTTGACTCGACCACCCGACGTATTCGAACTCAACCGAACCACTGTTTCATTTTAGTAATTTCATTTCAGATAGAACTGCCACGAAAGACAACCGGTCCGGAAACTCGCGAGGAGCGCATTCGCTGGGACACAGTGCCACCTATACGCGAACGGATAACACGATAATTACCATTGAACACGTAACTACGATTACACTACTTGCGAAGAAGTTGCATCGATGGAATCGCGAACATCAGGTTCGGTGAAAACGTAGACCAGAGTCGAAAGTGTCGCCGAGTGAAGTCTCATGAAGTATCGTCCCCTTCCAGCGTTCGAGGGATGCGGAATCTGCGGTCCAAGAAGAGACACCGATTGCGAAGAGAATAATGTCTCTCTAATTGACGCGCAGATTGACCGGAAAAATGGACAATTTGGGAAGAGGAGCGATACGATTATTCGAGCCTTGCGGTTTATTTTTATAGTTATAAATTGTCCACAATTATAAAAGCGAGCCGCGAGGCTCGAACAATCGTATTTCTTCTAACCAAATTGTCCATTTTAGTGGACGATCTGAGCGTCAGTAAGGGAGACATTGCTGTACTTGGCGCGCCCCGTGCAGACGACGAGTCGCTCGTGCGAAGAGAACATTTATTTGTACCCTGATCTTGCGGCGTGCGTTGGTCGAAGCGAGCGGAGGTCGGCCCTCGAGCCGAACACTGCGCCGCCTGTCTCAATGTACAGTAAAGTCTCTCTAATTGACGCTCGGATTGTCCACAAAAAATAGACAATTTAGGAAGTTGAGATACGATTGTTCGATCCTTGCGGTTCATTTTTATAGTCACGAATCGTCAACAACTGTAAAAACGAGCTGCGAGGCTCGAACAATCGTATCTCCACTTCCCAATAAATTGTCCACTTTTGTGGACAATCCGAGCGTCAGTTAGGGGAGACATTACCGTACACCGCGCGAATTGCACCGCGACGAGATCGCACAACGTCCCTCCGGTTCGCCTACTTTCTTTTTTTTTCTCTTTTTTGTTACGGTAACATCGACTGTACTCTATGTTTTTTTTTGTTCATTTATCGTATCATTTTTTTTTTGTTCTTTAACTCGTTTTAGGACGTGTACCTACTACGGATAAATTACGCTGCTTTTACGAGCATCGGCGGCGACTACGCCGCCACGGATCCCTTATTTATCAAAGAAGTCGCAGACGATAGGTGAAAAAAGTCTTTAGAGGAAAATAGGTACATATTCTTGTTTTGTTTTGTTTTGTTTGCGCCTTTTGTTTTTTCCTTGTTTTCTTCTGCTTCTTATATCTTTTTTTTTTTTAGGTAAATTGACAAGTAGATAGATTAATCGTATCCGTGTTCAGTTGAAATTGTGTAGAATCGAAAACGAGGGTGGACGAGGGGCGTCCGATTCCTTGTCGTTCTCCTATTCTCCCCCTTTTGTCCGTCATCGTCGAGACCCTCTCTCCTGGTTCTCCTAACCGGTGTTTACAATGTATTCTCCTAATGCGTGTTCATGCGTGTCTCTGTGTGTCGGTCGTCCGAAAACGATCGCTCGTCACCGCGGTCGGAGAGCCATCTTGGTTCCCTCTTCCGTGGTTCGCGAGGTCGGACAGCTCTCGGCTCAAGGTCTCTTTGCTTTCCGTTTCAGGCGGGATCGTCGTCGGGAAGCTGTCGCCGTCGATCCACGTTCCGTCGGTTCACCTCCTCGGACTCCATCGGCAAATAAAATGGACGAAAATGATCAATCGGCTGTCGCCCCGGACAATACACGATGCATCATCATCATCATCATCATCATCGTCGTCATCATCGTCATCAATCATCAATCATCATCATCATCATCATTGCGTCGTCGTCGTCGTCGTCGTCCTTTCTCCGCCAGCAGCCGCATCGTCTCGCTGTTCTCTCCGTTGCCACCGTTCCGCCGTATTGTCGAGATCATCGGTATTAATCTGGCCCCGCGGGCCTGTATATAGTGCCCGGCGAGCCCGCGAGAAGAAAGAAACGCCTTTTGTGTATAATCCACTTAGTTGTTTTTTTTTGTTTGTTTGTTTGTTTGTGTAGGGAGAGCTTCTCTCTCGGTAGCCTCTACGCGCAAACATATACAACATCGTCTCGCCGCGCTTCTCGGCTGGCCACCGTACACGTATATATATATACACACACACACATAACCATATATATATCTATATATATATGTATATGCATAGACCCCGCGACGGCTCGCGGCACTCCTACCTTCGTCGCCGAGCCGGGGACGTCGACGGGACGAGGTCGGTGGGAGGGGGCCATCATCGTCGTCGTCGTCGTCGTCGTCGTCGTCGTCAAGAAACTCGATGACGGGGGACGACGATTGTTTAACAGTGTCGCAGAGAGTGTGTAAGATAGATTAGATAGAGACAGAGAGAGAGACGTGTGTGTGGGGGCGGTGCGCGGGCGCGCGTGGAACGCGCTCTCCGTCGCCGGCCGGCGTGTTCGGGTGTTGAAACGTAGTATCTGTACAGGCGATTGATTCTCTTCGCTCTTCACTCCGTCACACGATCACAATTGGTCACTGTGTGTTCCGTGAGCCTCGGCTCGAGGAATCTCGGGCTCGCGCCAGTCCACTGGTCCGCGGTATGCGATTCTTCAGAGTGGCTCTCCCCGTCTGGTGGCCATCTTGGCAGCCCTGGAAGCCAAAGCGCCCAATGAGCACACGAGACCCGTCAGGGTCTCCCAGAAAGTGGTCCTACGTCTTTTGTGCGCTGCCTGACCGACGTACCCCAAATAATAGCCGGCGTAACGGTCTGTCCCACGGTCCGACGCGCTGTCCGACCTGCCCACACTGGACCTCGCCGACTTCGGCTGCTGCACGATGCTCCGTCGTTGCTCCTGATGATGCTGATGCTCGACGACGACACTCTGCCTAGGCGAGCCGTCCCCGTACCTTTGCTGGCACTGCTGGCCCCGGCCACCTCCGCCGCCACCACCGCCACCGCCACCGCCCTCCTCCGCTTCGTAGAGGTGTTGCTGGAGCTGAACGTTGCTCAGCCGGCGGTCCATCATCCGGACCAGGTTCTGGTGCACCCTCCTGTCGTTCTCCTGCACGACCGGCAACTGGCGCCTGCAACCGGCGCCGGCGCCGGTGCCTGCCACGCCGGCAACCGCCGGCTGCTGCTGCTCGTTCCTCTGCTGTTCCACTTGTCAGGCATATTCGGTGTCCGTCGACGCTGATCTCTCGAGGAGGGCTGGGTGGCCGGCGTGGTGCGCCGGGTTCTGGTTCTGCTGTTGCTCTTGCTGCTGCTGCGCTTGGGCGTACGCCAGGCTCTTCTGATAGCTGAAGAGCTGCCTCTCCAGGCTGTAGTTGTCCGCCTGCAGCGAGGCGATCTCGCGGCGCATTTGCAGATTGTGGATGCGGCACACGTCGTCGTACTTGTGATAGGTCGCCTGGAACAGCAGGTGGCTCTCGTTCCACTCGAGCCGGATCCGTAGCTGGCCCTTCTCCGTCAGGAAACGGGACTGGTTATCCTTCACCTCGTTCGTGTCCAGGTTCGTCTCCATGATGATACCCTCGTCCGCCTGCTCCTGGGCGTAGTAACGGCTGAACGGGGCACCCGGCAGGCTGATCGGCTCGTCGTCTTGCAGCAGGTACGCCGACCAGCTCACGTACCTGAGGATCAGCGATGTTGTCTTTGATTAGCGAGAAGGTATATATACCTAGATACATAGGTTTGTTCACGCAGGGGAGAGTTTCTGGACCGGTGGCTAGATTAGAGCCAAGGCGAGAGTCCTAATTTCATCGTGATACCTGCCGCATCATCTTAGGCGCCGGTCCATGCTCCTCCCCCTATGCTTAACCCTCTGTCGTATTTTTATTATATATATTCATATATATTCATTATATATTTTCATTAATATAATATATATATAATATGTAATAATTTATTAATATAATATATAATATAATATATAATATATTCATATAATATATTATACATATTACATATTATATATATATACATAATTTCATTCATATGATATATTATACATATTACACATTATATATTATGTATTATATGTATTATATATATTATATTATATATTATATATTACGTATTATGTACATATTATATGTTTATTCAGCAAGATAGCTTCAGCGCCGAGCGAAGATCATACGACAAGGGGTTAAAAGAATCTCTATAGTCCACTTAAAACCAAGAGACGCTACAACTGTTGCTTCTTCTAGGTGCCGCGAGTCGGTAAAACCGGTCGAACGGGACGGAAAAAGCTGAACGAACCTCAAGTGATTCCGTGGGACGTGATGTATGTCCTTGTAGACCAAGTGTAGCCTGACGGTGTCGGAGTGGAGGTCCGCTCGTAGGGTCCAAGCCTGCTTGTCCCGATCATAGCACGGCGTGGGCGGCAATGTCGGAGGGCCGCAAGCCAGAACGGCGACCTCGCAGATGGTTCTGGCCTCGACCATCTCCAGCGACACACGGACGACGCCTTTGTGCGCGATCTCGGACCACCTGAAGCGCGGGTGCCATCCGAAGCTGCAGCCCTCCGCGTCGGACAGGTCCTCGATCTGACCGGACTCGATCCTGCGGTCGCCCTCGCCCAAGGCCACCGTGTACCGCACCCGGCAACGATGATCGAACCCGGTCAGCCTCATCAGATAGACGCTGATGTGGCTCTGGTAGCCCTCCTCCCTCGCCCCCGGCTCCTTGTTCCCGTGAGGGTAGACCACCAAGTTCCAGTCGAAGCCGCCGAACGCGAAATAGTCGGTCTCCAGCTTGCAGGACTTCGGCTTGCCGGCCGAGAACGTGCTGCTCGGCATCTTAAGCTCGGTCATGTAGACGGTCCTCACGTTCGAGATCGCCAGCTCCAGCTGGAACTCGCCGTTCGTGTCGACGAAGTTCCGGTTGTAGAGGTCCGACACCGAGATGTAGTTCCGGTTGCCCTGGGCGGGCGCCTCGTACGTGAACTTGACCCGCTTGCCGGAGAAGCCCTCGTTCATCGAGAAGTGCTGCCGGTTCAGCAGGGTGAACGTGAAGTCCACGTAGACCCGCAAGTTCCTCGACGGGCCACGCCATACCAAGTACGCGCCCAACACCTTCGCAGAACAGAAACAACCGGGGTCTTTGGTCGCTGTCCTTCTTCGGGGCTCAGGGGATCAGGGTGGCTAAGTAATTAGCTGCAACGCGGTCGCGTAGTTTGCTAGAGTGATCGTCGGACTACGAATCTTCCGCAGTTATGGCAGCAGCGATGGTTAGAGTAGTTGTCTTTGCGATAACCAACTTGCTACTCACAGATATATTCCTTGCTTCATCACCTTCCTTTCATAAATGTGTAAAATTCGTAGTCCAATCGCGTGGCAAGAGAAGATATTCTGCTTCTTATAATTGACTTGGAACATTATTATTAGACTGCAGATTATTATGCGAATTAAGAATTGTCTAAATTAATTGTGAGAAGCCAATTGTGAGGCAAGAGAAGAATTTCTGCTTCCTATAATTGACTTGGAACATTATTATTAGACTGCAGATTTTTATGCGAATTAAGAATTGTCTAAATTAATTGTGAGAAAGCAACTGTGAGGCAAGAGAAGAATTTCTGCTTCTTATAATTGACTTGGAACATTATTATTAGACTGCAGATTATTATGCGAATTAAGAATTGTCTAAATTAATTGTGAGAAGCCAATTGTGAGGCAAGAGAAGAATTTCTGCTTCCTATAATTGACTTGGAACATTATTATTAGACTGCAGATTTTTATGCGAATTAAGCATTGCCTAAATTAATTATAAGAAATTAATCGCGTGGCGAGAGCAGAATTTCTGCTTCCTATAATTGACTTGGAACTTTATTATTAGACTGCGAATTTTCATGTAAATTAAACATTGTCTAAATTAATTGTAAGAGACTTAAGTCAGACAAAAAAGTCATTCCTCTCTTAATAATTTCAAGAAGTTATACACAGTGTAAAAAAATATCCTCAAATTCTTCTACTGTCTTCGCAGTTTTGTGTCTCATCTAGTCATTTTTGCAAAAAAGGACGCATAAAATCCACAGTCCTCTCCATCGACTATTTCAACGAATGATGCGAATAGAAAACGATTAAATTGCCTGTAACTACGACATTGCGACGATTATTCTGTCGCTATTGTAAACAAAATTTGTGCGATCAAGACGATTGAGAATGTAGATTTTGTTAAAGCCACCGAATCCAAGGTATCGCGATTTTATTTCTGGCAGCCTTGTCGCGCGCACCGGCGCTATTCTCGATGGCAGATTATCATTGGCAGGTTCATTAATTCCTCGATATGACCGTTGTTCAATTACCGAGTTAATCGCTGCATATTTCGCTGCACGAACCGTCCCGTATCACCTCTCTACATCTGTATTTACAAAAGCAGTCGATGGTCGTTAATTGAATTTCAACGGTGTCACGGTCGACTGACTCTCCCCGATGCTTTCCATATTTATTACAGTCTAATGGAGACCTTCCTCCATCGGAATTAGAACAATCCAGAATATGAAAGTCCGCGGAACCGGTCGACTAGAACTATATTTTATTGCGCGTTGCATTTCTATGTTTCTCAACTTTGCTCGTTGGGAGTTTATTAATGAGTGTACAGGGTGTCCCGAAAATGTCTCGCAATTCGAGAATGGGAGATTCCTGGAGGTAATTCGAAGTAAGTTTGTCCTTGGCGAAAATGCAATTCACGACTTTGTTGACGAGTTATCAACGAAAAAGAGTAACCAATGAGAGGCGAGATATGCTGGCGCAAGGCGGCCGAGCCAATGAGCGGAACTGGGGGCTTCGCGCGCTCATTGGCTCGGCCGCCAAGTGCTAGGCGAGCTCGCCTCTCATTGGTCTGTGTTTTTTCGTTAATAATTCGTAAACGAAGCCACGGGTTGCATTTTCGCTAAGGAAAAAGTTACTTCAAATGATCCCAGGAACTTCTCATTCCCGGTTTGCGAGACAGTTTTGGGACACCCTGCATAATGATTGCGATCAATCTAAAAGAAGCTCAAGTTTCAACGTTTTTAAAAACATTTTCGTGTAACAAAATTAGCAATATAGTAACAAAGAGAATATATTTTCGTTTCAGGCTTACTAGATTATGTCAAGGTTATGTCACACTCGTCAAATTCTTCAAGTCGACACACCATTGTTTACGGTAACATATAATATTTTTAACATGCCGTTTTGTAACGTGTAGCATATATTTTGAAACACGTTGATTGGTACAGGTTAATAAAAGGCGTGTTAACGCCTTTTCGAATGTAACAATTTTTAACATTTTTTAATTGTTTTTCATCATTTCAGCCAACTGGAATCTAACCAAATTTTGATACACTCATCCTCCAGAAAACTAGTCGGTGTAACATCTCGGAAAAATTCAAGTCATTTGCAGCGATTTAAAAACAACTATTCCCTTTCGAAAAGGTGACGACATAGTTTCCCGACGTAGCTGTAAATCTTCATCTACTCCTCGCAAAGCAATCTCATCTCCTAACACAGTTTTCTAAACCGTATTTTGTAAGTGCTTGCAAAGGCTAAGACAATCAAGACTATTTCGAGGCTATGAAGGCTATCAGTCAAGACGGATTCAAAGGTGGAAACATGCTACAGCAGGACCTCGATTATCCGAACCGTTGATATCTTTTATTTATAAACACATTGTACATGTAATCAGATCGATCCAAGGCAATCTATGCGCAAGAATATATAATCTGTGGCACGTTGATAATATAACTGTTCTATATTATTCAAATAGAAGCTTATCGAGGTTCTACTATAATGTCACGTCAGGCGAGATCACGCGAAATCATAGGAAAAATAATACGTGGAATCCATTCACGCGTGACGACATACGAACAGCGTGACATGACATTGATCCGTTACTAACAGATTTGAGATCATCAGAAATGAGCAGGCTCGTGCTCTCTGAATGTCACGTGACCTCGCGTGACGCAACAATAATACGTTTCTACCTTATTGAGGTAAAATTAAAAATTAAAACAGTCGATCAAATGGTTATTTATAATAATTAATAAGTCGATTATGAATTATTATAAGTTAATAGTCGATTATGGTTTCAGCGAACCAAACGAGAACCGCACACGGTGTTCGCGATTTAGCGATAGCTATCGGTCGAGCGATCTCCGAGGAGCCCTCCAATTACCTTGTTGCCCCGCGAGAACGCGACGGACCATCGTTGGAAGCCGCAGACGAGCTCCTTGCTGGTGACGTCTCTTGCGGGGTCGCGTATCACGCTCCTGGTGACGATGAACGAGAAGACCCGCGTGCCACTGTTGTCAGGCAGCTGCGCGAATCTGTTTAGCAGAGCCATCACCGCATCTCGAGGGCACAGCTAGATCAATGGTCCACGATCGCTCGGCTACCCTCTGCGAAAGTCCCTATGCCCGGACCAGCTCTCTGAAACAGAAACGGAATTCCGCCGTGAATCCGTGTCATCCGATCCCGGCCGTTCTCTGAGATCCAAAGTCCCTCGCGAGCTGTCGACTCCCCTTTCTCCTTTACAATAATTTTCTCCGAGGCACCATTAACGAGTTATTAACGAAAAACGTTGACCAATAAGAATCGAGTACGGCTGGCGCGAGGAGGCGGCCCAGCCAACCAGCGCGCGAAGCCCAGTTCCGCTCATTGGCTCGGTCACCTCGCGCCAGCCGTGCTCGCCTCTCATTGGTCACTGTTTTTCGCTAATAACTAGTAAACGGTGCCTCGGAGAAAGTTTTTGTAAAGGAAGAAGTTGCTTCAAATGATTCGAGGAACCCGCCATTTCCGGATTGCGAGACATTTTTGGGACACCCTGTATATCCATCGACATCAGAATATTTTCACGCTATCTAAAGGATTTTACACTGTGTGAAGGGTAGAATCTCGCTAGTCCCCTTGTTCCTAGAATTTCCTTTCGAGAGAGACGAACCGGAAGTGCTAAATATTCGACTGTTGGCAGGCATCGACGAGGAGCAGGCCAGGTTCAAAGTGAACGATCCCGTGCAACAAGCGGAGCTGCGGATCAGGAAGCTACAGGCGTACATCGTGAAGCTCTACTTGGCACGGATGGCTTGCGACAAGGACTTCCTGCAACGTTTGTCGGAGCAGTCGGAGATTCTAGACCATCCTAACAAGGAATCGGTCGAATTGCTGCGTTATCGCGCGACGAGGAATTACAAGAGGGCGTTTTTAGGACACTCTGTATATCGTTTGCGTCCGCGGCGCCGTTCCCAGAAAACAAGCAACGAATGGAGAGCGGGGAAACCGCGGGAACGGAATTGCAACGGGTCGCTGGTTCCACGGTGCTCAGAATTTTCGACGTTTCTAATTATTTGTTCGCATGTTGCCGTTTACACTGAGCACGTTTCAGTAGCTTTTGAAAAGCGTTCGCTTCGATTGCTTTCGGAAATTGATTATTGAACTCGTTGCGTTACGAATTCAAGCTTCGAAGTCTTTCGAACTTCGCGAACTGCGATACGGTTTCATTTTGTTACTGATTCGCTGAAACTCGATACAATAAATTATCCTTAACTGACGCTCAATTTATATACAAAAATGAACAATTGTCCATTTTTCTGCAAAATCTGAGCGTCAATTAGGAAGAATTTACTGTACATATTAAGTTATAAGTGTTCGACACTTGTGCAATTATTTTATTATAATAATTATTATTATTATAATTATATATATAATAATATTATATATAATATTATTATAATTATATAATAATAAATATTATATTATAATTATTTTCTTTATTTGAAATCGAATCCAGGGTTTATTTTCTTAACACGTGGAACATACAGAAGCAAATGTAATTTTCGTTTCTAAAATTGACGGTATTTTTATTAATGAAATATATTCATGTATTTGTTACAATTTAATATAAATAGTCTTGAAGAAACGCGAGACATTTTTGGGACCGCCTGTAGAATGAATATATTTCAAGTATCATCATCGAGAACATTATTGCGTTTTGATAATGATCGAAACCCACGGAACGGAGCCTGGTTGTTGAAATTGATTCGATTTCGTGAGCATACTATTACCGAACTTTGATCCCGTCCCTAGCCCGAGATAGCTGCTAATGCTGTCCCGGTTCAAACGGCAGAGGCAACTCGCGTCACGGCAGCCTGGATGCGGCCGTACCTGTGCCGTAGTTAATTAGCGTTTCGCAAGTTGCCGAGCGCAATATTGGCGAAGTATTTTGGGGGAAGAAGGGCGGTGCTTCCGGCGGTTTCGTTCTTTGAGCCGCACCGCCGGGAACCAGGCGGAACGAGGCGTAATCCGCTTTCGGCTCTGGAATACTGTCGCGCGCTGCCAAAGCTCCTTGTGGCATTAATTGTCACGCACCGGCGCGACGGGGGGATTACGTCGGGACGGCCGGCAGCGAATTTTGCGGCCGCGAAGTCCTATCTTCCGTCGCTGCGTCGCCGAGGCGCGGCGAGCACGCGAAATTTTTTGCCGGCGCCGCCGCGCCGCGGCGGAACGGAATTATCCGGCGCGGGATCTTTCGACTTTCTGGATCCGTTAGCCGCGACAAAGGATTAATCCTCTAACGCGCCGAGAAACACGAAAGATTCCGCCAAAAGTATAGTATATAATATATATAAAGTATATAATAAAAAGTTTAGTATAAATTGTAATGTTCCATTCAGTTCGAATAATTGTCTATAGTACAGTATATTCTTCCTAATTGACGCTCGAATAATAATATAATAATAATATAATAATAATAATAATAATATAGTATAATAATAATAATAATAATAATATATAATATAGTATAATATATATTTTATATACTATACTATAATATTATTTATATTATCATATATATATATAATATAATATATAATATAATAAATAAATAAATACATATGTAATAATTGCCGATTATCAATAATTATAAAAAAGGGGTGCAAGGCTCAAATAATCGTGTCTCCTCTTCCCAAATTATATGTATATATGTATAAATAATACAATATGCATATTATACATATGTATTATGTCAAGGTTATATCAATAATGTTTTCTCTATTGTAAATAATGTGTCCTCATCCGTCGATTTTTTCCATCATCTGCTATATTCTTTCAAACAGAATAATTGAAGGCGTATTACTTAATATAATTTCGCTACGTCATTATAGTCCGCAGAGATTTATCATACTAACTTAAGAAATTTTAGTCACCTTATTTTACTTTTTTATTCAAACTCTGTATCAAATTATTTTAAACCCCTTTTCATGTCTTTATTTCGTGACTTTATAACCAACGGGCCAACTTCTTGCCGTGCATATTGAATAAATAGACACATAAAAACATCAAATCTGAGGGAGCAACTTCAGATCGGTGAATGCGGGTCTCCGAGGCGTCGTTCACGATCGAGAAGTCAGCCGAGGATCGCCGGAGCACGGACACTTCGCTACGGTCTCGGTGTCGATCAAAGGCGAAGAGGGGGGTGTCAGTTTCGATGAAGATGTGACTATAAAGGGACCCGGATTCCGGCGGTCACCGTGCAAAATTCATGAGTGTAGGGGAGCCACTGAACTCCTCGGGGGGTGTCTGTCGGCCTCCTGAATTATAGATCGGCTCGCGTACCAGGTTAACCGTACCCACGATCGGGCATCCGGCATCGCCGCAAAATTTTCCGAATAAGTTGGCCCGTCGTGCGTCGGCCGGGCAACACGATGGCGACCACGGACGAGCAGCCCCTGTTCTTCAGGGACGGCATCGTCTTCCGTGAATGGGGCTACTTTCTGTCTAGACGGAACAAGTATCACCTATCCGAGCGATACTTCGAGAAGGCGATCCAGCACGGCGAGCAATCGGACCTCAGGACACACCTCGGCCTCTGCATGACCCAGCTCAATTACGCTAGGTACATCAGGGCCACGAGCACCACCGATGTGTGCGTTAAAATTGGTGAGTCGTGTTTCTTCGGATTACATTCATTTTTTCGGATTACAGCTACCCGAAATTTTCTGCGATCTTATTTTAATGCGCTATTTGTGCGACTTAGTGTCACACTGACGCAGGAACTTGTTCCCGTTGATCAAACAAATGTTATTGTTATTGTTATTATTATTATTTGTTTATTATTATTTTATTGTTATATTATATATTTATATGTAATATCACATTACATTTATATGTAATATCACATTACATTTACATTACATTACACATTACATTTACATTACATTACACATTACATTTACATCACATTACACATTACATTTACATCACATTACATTTACATTACATTACACATTACATTACACATTACATTTACATCACATTACACATTACATTTACATTACATTACATTACACATTACATTTACATCACATTACACATTACATTTACATTACATTACATTACACATTACATTACACATTACATTCACATTATATTACTTTACATTATATATACATTTTAATATTATTGTTATTATAGCAATAACAATGACCAAAAATTAATATTGTTATTGTTGTTATTATTATTTTTATTATTATTATAATTGCTTATGGATTAACAGGCGCGGGCCAGTCAGATGCTAAATCGATCGACTCCGTAAAACGAAAAGGTGGAGGACAAGGCGACGGAGTCACGATCTTCTAAAATTCTCCGAGAGTTTTACGGGGAAATTAGATTCGCGCAGCGTAGTTAATCGATTTGGCAATCGAGAATGGTGTTACGAACCCGTGAAGAGTACCGAGGATCTGTATTTGCATAAGCATTCGCAATCTAGTAGCGTACAAAAGGGTCTAAGCACTTCCCAGGTTCGATTTCGTTAGATCAATCGACGCGGTGTCCGGAGAAATTGAAATTAAAAATATTAAAAAAGTAGTCGTTCAAATTAAAACTATTTGAAAGGTGGTAATATTTTNCACATTACATTTACATTACATTACACATTACATTACACATTACATTTACATCACATTACACATTACATTTACATCACATTACATTTACATTACATTACACATTACATTACACATTACATTTACATCACATTACACATTACATTTACATTACATTACATTACACATTACATTACACATTACATTCACATTATATTACTTTACATTATATATACATTTTAATATTATTGTTATTATAGCAATAACAATGACCAAAAATTAATATTGTTATTGTTGTTATTATTATTTTTATTATTATTATAATTGCTTATGGATTAACAGGCGCGGGCCAGTCAGATGCTAAATCGATCGACTCCGTAAAACGAAAAGGTGGAGGACAAGGCGACGGAGTCACGATCTTCTAAAATTCTCCGAGAGTTTTACGGGGAAATTAGATTCGCGCAGCGTAGTTAATCGATTTGGCAATCGAGAATGGTGTTACGAACCCGTGAAGAGTACCGAGGATCTGTATTTGCATAAGCATTCGCAATCTAGTAGCGTACAAAAGGGTCTAAGCACTTCCCAGGTTCGATTTCGTTAGATCAATCGACGCGGTGTCCGGAGAAATTGAAATTAAAAATATTAAAAAAGTAGTCGTTCAAATTAAAACTATTTGAAAGGTGGTAATATTTTTTTTATAATAAATTATTTTATAATAATTACTTTCGGCGATACCCAACGTTAAGGCGAAAAAAACAATCTTCGTGTTGTACAATACATAAAAAAATATTGTTAGAAGTTGTTATAAAATTTACGATCTCATTGTATATACATATTATTATATTGTTTATATATTATTATTATAAATACTATATTATTATATTTTATTTATATTATATTATATATTATTATTATTATACTATATTATTATATTTATATATTGTTTATATATTGTATATATATATTATATTGTATATACATATGCATGCAGAACGAGAAGCAAAATAGTGTCGACACTTTTTAAAACAGCGCCGAACGACTTGTTTTGTTTTTTCGACGACAGGGGGACCAGTCGTCTACTTAGAGACAACGACCAAAATACTTTCCCTTCTATTAATCTCGCGTCGCCGTTAATTTCCAGACCCGACCTACTCCTACGTGAAGCAGGTGCAGCTGATGACCCTGTTCCAGGTCGGCGAGTTCGAGCACAGCATGGTGCACGCTTATCAGGGCTACCAGAAGCGTCAAACGACCGCGTTCAAGCGTGGCGTTCTGCAGGGGAACGAGACCGTGCACGATTGCGTCGGCAAGAACACCCATCGGCAGGCGCTGATGCTTCTTTCGCCGTGGATACGGAACCTCGTGGAGCACCGGAAGCTGATGATCGAGAAGCTCAAGGAGGAAGTCGACGAGCTGGCCGGTAAAAAACCGCCGCTAACTCGCCGAATTAGATCCCTAACCCTTTCGGTAGGAGCGCGCAGAAACGAGGGGTTCCCGGGGTCATTTGTAGCAACTTTTTCCTTGGCGAAAATGTTCCACGATGCTTCGTTCGCGAGTTATTAACGAGAAACACCGACCAATCAAAGACGAGCTCGGTTCGCGCAAGGCGGCCGGGCCAATCAGCGGTACTGGGCCTTCGCGCGCTCGTTGGCTCGGCCGCCTCGCGCCAATCGAGCTCGCCTCTGATTGGTCTCTGTTTTCCGTCGATAACTCGCGAACGAAGCCTCGTAGAATATTTTCGCTAAGGGAAAAGTTGCTTCGAATGATCTCAGCGAACCCCTCGTTTCCCGGAAATACCATATTTTACCATAATTTGACATAACCATACCATACCATTACCATAATTTAAAATAATATTTTACCATATTATGATAATGATTATAATATAATATATGATAACTTAATATTTTTTATTATATAATCATATAATATATGATTATATTATTTTACCATAATTTGAACGCCCTGTATATCCGGCGCTCGGCCACGCATGTGACCAGATCGGTGCCGGATGTATCCGGCGCTCGTACCGAAAGGGTTAAACATCAGCGTCGTTGATACCGGGAAGAGCTGTGTTCGAGGAAGGAGTGAAACTGGCGAGAGTGGTAGCTAACGGCGCGGCAGATAGCTAATCCGTAGTGGCAGCGGACCGTAGAAACACATTAGCCATCGATTCCCGAACTTGGTTTCTCGGATTACTCGATCTCGCGGTCGAAGTTGCGCCGTCTCGACAACTTCCAGCGCCGACGGCGGCCGTAATAGCAAACCGAGAGAGTTTATATTGTATACTCGACGGGGTTGAGGTTATGTATAGAGCACGTATAGGAGACGACAGTGCGGGAGGATAAATGCACGGGCGGCGAACTTCTTCGAAGTGAACAGCGAACGAAAGGCACTCGTTAGATATCGATTTTTCGGCTCCAACTTTGGTCACGCGAACGACGATACCTGCATTAGTTTCTGTTTCATATTCAACCGGTTTGATGTTTCGCGCGGAGCACGTTCGCCGTAACTAGACCGCGGATTTTATGCATTCGTTTTTTTGGAAAAGTTAGGCGGATCGAATGCGAACTTGTGGAACCATCTAAGAGACTTTCGAACATCGCACTGTGCTCGGTTTCCGTGCGACGACTAAAATTATATATTTAAGCTTCGCTTTTTAGTTTTATATTACTAATACATATATATTGTTCGGATAGAATAATGAAAACAAAATGCAGTGTTCCGATTGTTTATAAAGAAGCTGTTTAAAAATATAATTTTTGCTTGCAATACAACTCAATTAAATTGAACATCCTCTTAAATTTTATATTGAGAGATGAAACATGTTTATACAGTGGTGTGCATAATTGTAAATTCAAAGTAACTTTTACATTGTTATATCTAAAGGAAAACTTAACAGAAATCGTTACTATTTTCTATTATTTTTAATATGGAAATATACAAATATAATATATCGTTGAGATTGTTTTTCAAATTTACAGATATTTAGACAAATTTAGATATACAGATATTCAAACAGATTTAAATTATACAGATATTTAAACAAATTTAAATTACAGATATTTAAACAAATTTGAGTTACAGATATTTAAGCAAAAACCAAGAAAAAACTATATTTGTACACCACTATATTAAAAATAATAGAAAATAGAAATGTACAAATACGATATCTCGTCAAGTTTTTGTACAAATATAATGTAAAATATAATAATATGTTTAATTATATATATACAAAATGTAAAAGTTACTTCGACTCTATAATTATTCATACCAGCGTGTGCAACTGCTGTTCCTTGTTATCACTGCAGACAATTTTTATTTTGTATAAAAATCTGTAGCTAGGTCATAACACAAAAAGGTCAAAGAAGAGCTAACCGCTTACGAAGGATACATACTTTAATATCGTTTATCGATTACATATTTTATAAAAGCGTAGTATTTAAACAAAATATTAGAAAATCAAGCGTATGCGGTATAATTACAGCGAAGTGCTCACTTCTCAAAGAGATTGCAACTAGCAAACTGGTCAATTTGTTTCAAATGAACAAGTTCCCTTACATGTCATAGCAATTGCAATCTTTCTAACGATGCTATTAAGAAGAGCAGACGGTGCTTTTTATACTCCGAGACTCGTTGTCTCGTTGCCCGCGGAACAGGATCGTCCGAGATGCGTCACGCGAGTTCCCCGGATCGCGTACATTTTTCACGTGGCACCGCGGGCCGTGGGGTAAACTAATTTCTAAGTCGCCGCTTAATTTTCTGACTTACCGATTTTCATTTTCCGTGCGAAACCGGCCCCGGGGCCGGCGAAGTTAGTTCCGTCACCGTTTCGAACTTCCTGTTCCCGCGGACTAATTGGACTGTAACTCGGCGTCCCGGTTACGAGGGAGAACGACTTCCTACGAAAAAGCTCGTTACAACTTAATGTTGTTCGTTACATGCTCTCGGGGTCCTCCGCAATCCGGCCGCAATCTGGTTTAGCCGGCGTTATTAACAAATATTGCTCGCTCGGATTTGCATCGCCGCGGTTAATGAGCCTTGGAGGACACGCCAAAGGGAAATTAACTCGGCTTGTTGTTTTAGCACTTCGCTGCGATGAATTCCGTTGCTCGATGAGTCGTCGATATCGTTATCCCGTTGCTCCGCGGTAATTTATTTTTTTTTTTCGAGCACGTTATCTTTCATTCCGTCGTCCATGTGAATAGAACAAGATAACAATTCCAAGTAAATAGACACTGCGGATTTATGTATTTATTGCTTTATGCATTTATTGCTTTATGTATTTATTGCTTTATTATTATTTTATTAGTTTATATATTTATTTTATTACGAGTTATTTATTTATGATTTATTTGTCTATGTATATATTACTTAGTACGATATTACGCAGACGATTTTTATCTTGCACAAAGATCCGCTGTCTACTCATAAACGTTATCGTAATCTTGATTATTAATAGTTCACGCTTCATCTACTGGCAGTCTTTCAATAGTTTCTTAAAAGACAAAGATTTTATAGTATTTATTATTTATTATTATTATATAGTATTTATTACTTACTACGATATTACGTAGACGATTTTTATCTCGCACAAAGATCCGCTGTCTACTCATAAACGTTATCTTAATCTTGATTATTAATAGTTAACGCTTCATCTACTGGCAGTCTCGCAATAGTTTCTTAAAAGTCAAAGACAAACGCTCGAGAACTAATCTAATCCGTAGTTCACCGAATTATTTAGATTAATATAATGTAAGAAGTTGTCTTGAAATTAATATTTAAAAGAAAATTATCAAGCATCTCCTGAATGCTTAATAATATTTTATGTACAAATATACAGGTTGTCCCGAAAGTGACGGGTTCCTCGGGTCATTTGAAGCAACTTTTTCCTTTACAATAATTTTCTCCGAGGCACCGTTAACGAGTTATTAACGAAAAACGCTGACCAATAAGAATCGAGTACGGCTGGCGCGAGGAGGCGGCCCAGCCAACCAGTGCGAAGCCCGGTTCCGCTCAATGGCTCGGTCGCCTCGCGTCAGCCGAGCTCGCCTCTCATTAGTCACTGTTCTTCGCTAATAACTCGTAAACGGTGCATTGGAGAAAATTTTTGTAAAGGAAGAAGTTGCTTCAAATGGTCCGAGGAACCCGCCATTTCCGGATTGCGCGACATTTTTGGGACACCCTGTATATCCATCGACATCAGAATATTTTCACGCTATCTAAAGGATTTTACACTGTGTGAAGGGTAGAATCTCGCTAGTCCCCTTGTTCCTAGAATTTCCTTTCGAGAGAGACGAACCGGAAGTGCTAAATATTCGACTGTTGGCAGGCATCGACGAGGAGCAGGCCAGGTTCAAAGTGAACGATCCCGTGCAACAAGCGGAGCTGCGGATCAGGAAGCTACAGGCGTACATCGTGAAGCTCTACTTGGGACGGATGGCTTGCGACAAGGACTTCCTGCAACGTTTGTCGGAGCAGCAGGAGATTCTGGATCATCCTAACAAGGAATCGGTCGAACTGCTGCGTTATCACGTGACGAGGAATTACAAGAGGGCGTTGGCAAGGCTGAAGATCCTACGAATGCGCAAGCCGTTGTACACGTACCTCTTTAGAAGAAGAGGAACTCCGAAGGGCCACAAACAGATGATCGAGGCGGAGAAGAATCAGAGGAGGAACCTCATTATCATCGAAGCGGACTTTCTGCTGCGACGTCTTCACGAGACGAGGATGAAGAAAGATTATATCACGTTTTTCCGGTTAGTCGGCGGAGAACTTTGCCTCTTTACAGGGTGATTCCTGAGGTCATTTGAAGCAACTTCTTCCTCAGCGAAAATGCAATCCGCGCCTTCGTTTACGAGTTATTAACGAAAAACTCTGGCCAATGAGAGGCGAGCTCGGCGGGCGCTAGGCGGCTCAGCCAACCAGCGCACGAAGCCCAGTGCCGCTGATTGGCTATTAGTACGTCTGAGAATAATTCGGGAACAAAATCTAACTGCAGCGTGAAAGTTAAGAAATCATGGCAATTATCAGCATGTTTCTAAATTTGAGAGTACGATAGAAACAAAACGGTTTCATAGAAATTGATGTAATTAAAATTTCATTGCAAATGATGCAATTAATTTTATAGAAATTGACGTAATTAATTTCATTAGAAATGATGCAATTAATTTTATAGAAATTGACGTAATTAATTTCATAGAAATTGATCTAATTAATCTCACAGAAATTGACGTAATCAATTTTATAGAAATTGATGTAATCAATTTTATAGAAATTGACGTAATCAAAATTTTATAGAAATTGATCTAATTAATTTCATAGAAATTGATGCAATTAAACTCATAGAAATTGATGTAATTAATTTTCTTCAAATTCGTGTAATTAAATTTCCAGAAATTCGTGTAATTAATTTTCTAGAAATTCGTGTAATTAATTTTCTAGAAATTCGTGTAATTAATTTTCTAGAAATTCGTGTAATTAATACAACGAGTCCAGTTAAGTCCAAAGTGCGATCGGCGAAGCGAAGATCCTGCCATCGACGCGTCCGATAAAAATTCACGTTTCCGTTTCCGCAGCATGGTCGACCGCGTGAAGGACAAGTTCGACGGCTACTCCCTGAAGATGTTCCCCCTGAAGCAGAAGTGTTTGGACGCTGTTTACAACATGGTCGCGTGGGCGTACATAGACACCCGTGATCTGAGGAAGCTTCGGTCCAAGGAGCAGATTAAAATTCATCTGAAGCATCACCTGGGAATTCGCGTGGCTGAACTGCCGCGCGACTGCGATATCGCCTGGGTTCACAATCTCAGCGTCAAAGACACGCTTCGAGTATTCCGCAAGTGAGATACTGGACGCCTGTTGTCCAACTGTCTTTCTTTTATTGACGATTTTAATAGTTAGAAAAAAAGATCCGCGGTTTAATTATTATACAAATTCTATCTAGAGTAAATTCTCCCTAATTGACGTTCAGATTGTACACAAAAAATGGACAATTTGGGAAGAGGAGATACGATTATTCGAAACTCGCGGCTCGTTTTTATAGTTGTTTACAATTGGTAACTATAAATAATAAGAATAATATAATATAATATAACATAACATAACATAACATAATATAATATAATATAATATAATATAATATAATATAATATAATATAATATAATATAATATAATATAATGTAAATATAATATAATACAATATAATATAATATTATATAATAATAAGAATAATCGTACCTCCTCTTCCCAAATTGTCCATTTTGAGCGCCAATATAAGAAGAACAGAGAGAATTTACTCTATTTCAATATTCCTCAGATAATTATTTTCGTTTTCCCCGCAGGAGACTAGCGACGGCGTCGCAGCCGCTTGAGCTCGCCTGGCTCTTCCACGAGCTCTGCAAGTTCTTCATCGACATCCGCCGCTACGATCTGGCCAGATTCTACGGGAAGAAGGCTCGGGACATGGGCGAGGCGGCGGAGAACGAGCAATGGGTCCTGAACGTGCACCATCTGATCCTGCGCATCGAGGTCTGCCAGAACTACCGGAACGAGGCGAAAGAAGCCGCCGTGTTGGCCCTCGCCGGCGCCAAGAAGCTGGGCCTGGAGTTCTTGATGGACTTCTACATGTGGATACTGGACATGATCGACGAGACGGACGTGGACAAGTTGACGGACCAGGACCCGATCGGCGCCAGACAACAGCTGATCCTCGACCTGATGCCCGCCGACATGAAGCCAGACGTGGATTACCTTTGGAGGCGAATGGACGCTGTGCCAGCAAAACGGCGGCTGTCGGTCATGCCCGGCTGCAAGCCTGTCGACAAAATGTTCAAGTTCCCTTGCAAACGGATGAGCATCCTGCCGGCTCCGCCGAAGGACCCGGTAAGGGACGCCAGGCGGGCGTTCCTGGCTAAGCACGAGCTCGTCAAGGAGAGGCCTGGCTACGTCGACTTCAACGAGGTCTAGCTTGTAGACTCTTGTGCCGTCTAATTTGTCTGTGATCGTCCGACGAAACGATTGTTCGAAGCACAATGGATACGCTGAAGACGTAGACGTTGTTGAAGTCCACGTTAAAAGTCAACGTTGACAAAGAACGTTGATTGCGGCGTGATAATAGAGTCGCTGTGTTGTCTACGAGAGTTCGATGAAGCTAATCGTGATCCAGAGCTCCAGAAGGAAGCTAAAAAGACTGGGCCACGCTGAGAACGGAGCCTGCGCTGTCAAGAGACCATGTTGCGTTGATAATAATAAATATCAGGATATTTCTCGGACTTCGAGCCTGTCGATGACAGTCCAACAAAGGAAGGAAATGGCACGCGGTCCTCGAAGGACGAGTAGAAGCGGACCGAAGAGGCTGGTTCGCCAAGAGAAGGAACCGACGAGGTTTTCGAAGGACGCCAGAATAAAAGCCGGAATAAAAGCCAGAATAAAAGCCAGAATAAAAGCGGGTTCCTCGAGTGGGCCATCAGCGACGAGTCGAACTGTCCGAGCTACCGAGAGCAGAGCTTCGAGACGCGGAGTCCAATATCCACGGAAGTACCGGAGGAAAACGTCCGGAGGATCCAACTGGACCAATGATACAGCTAATCGGAAGAGAGACAACGCGGCGTTAACTCGAACGCGAGGGAAGCCCGTGTCTTTATCTTGTCCGGACGCAGCCTCCGGGTGCTTCGGCAGCGATGGCTATTGACGGGGATGGAAAGGTGGGCTCGGAGCGAGCTATCTTCGTTAAAGCAAACTGCCGAAGTTAGCCGGGGCGAACGAAGTTTTACACGTCGTGCAATTAAACTTTTAGGGCCGTCGAGTCGCCGGCTGGGAGCTTGTTGACCCGGTAACTCCGGACGGCATCGACGAAGCCGCCGTTTCTTCGGGAGTAACGGCTCCGTCGACCAGGCGAGCGGCGAGGCAGCAGCAGCAGCGGCACCATCCCTGGCCCCGTCAAGCTGGATCACCCGCGGCGGAACGGGACAAGTTGTTCGATCTCATTCAGTTTTTGACGCCGCGGAGCGGACACTTTATCGCTCGAAGATCTCTCCTAATGGGATAACTTGGCCGTCGTCGTCGGCCCCGGCGCCGTTCAATCGGAAGACCGAAGACTGCGACTGCCGCGCCTCCACCGAATCCGCCTAAGAAGTTCGCCGGATGAAAATTAGATTCGTTGGAAACGCTTAGGCGTCTCGCCCGGCCCGTCCGGATGCTTTATGATCGCCGAAGTAAGCGCCGAAGCTCGCTTGGTAAATGTCTGTACGCGAACGGCGGATGCACGTGGCATCCGGTTTCAGTCGTTCAAACCATAATTCTTCTGTTTTGGAACGGTCGGTTTCCTTCGAGGAACGAAATAATTGCGTCAAGGAATTGATCGCGTAGTTTGATGATCCGAGGCGATTAAGAATGTGTCGAATAATCGGCGTGGTTTAACTATTTGCACTCGCATTCACTGTACAGTAACTTCAAACTGTATTTAATAAAACTGCTGAAAATAGAAGCATGTCATCGGTAAGTGTGCAATTTCATGCGCAAAAGGAGAATAAAAATCGAGAAATAATAGAAATAATAGAAATCTTAGAAATAATAGAAATAATAGAAATCTTAGAAATAATAGAAATAATAGATATCTTAGAAATAATAGAAATCTTAGAAATAATGGAAATAATAGATATCTTAGAAATAATGGAAATAATAGATATCTTAGAAATAATAGAAATAATAGAAATCTTAGAAATAATAGAAATCTTAGAAATAATAGAAATAATATAAATAATAGAAATAATAGAAATAACCTCGAAAGAAGCCAAACGTCTACGTTTCTCTTGTCTGCAAAACGCGAAATAGACACACCCTAGTCGAGCGATAACGTTCCAATAATGTGATACGCGATCACGGCGTTTCTAAAAATATATTATTATTGATAGCCGCGCACAGCCGCCGCCATCTTTGTTCTTTAACCTCCAGTACGCTGGAAGCGCTTTTGTAACCGATTCAATAGAGAACGAGGGCTGGCTTTGAACTTTCTAATGGGCTTTCATTTAAAGAACACAGTCGTTAGAACATATATAACGAGTATAGACTTTGTAGCCGCTTTGCAAGCTCCATTCATCGGGCTTTGATCGCCGACCCGCGCGCGCCACACTATTTCAGTACATCCGTCGTTTTAATCCTGCGACGGTGCCCCTCGGTTTCGTCAAAAATATAAAGCAACTCCGAAAATTTTAGCAATTTTTATAATATATAATATTAATATAGTTATAGTATATTATAGTATATATATAGTAGTATAGTATATTATAGTATATAGTTATAGTACTTTATGCCAACCATAAAGCTAGATCGTGCGTAATATAATATATATATATAGTAAGTATAATATAGGGACAAATAAAGCTGATCCTTCGTTATTTTATCGCAGTCATAGTCTAGGATCTAGAATTAATCGTTTAAACTGTATAGGAAAGGATCAAAATGGTTTCAAGTCTCGTAATCCGATTAACCAGCAGATCCTTCACGAGCTTGATCGACTAAAGCTGGTCTCCACGGGAAATCCTCCGCATCAAATTCCCAAACAACATGATCTCGCGCTGCAATATGGTTTCGCAATCATTTTTAAAAGTGTCCGTCTATGTCGCTGGATTCAACGAAACAGATCCGCCGCAGTAAAACCTCCGATCCATCTGTACGAGCTTCTTTTTTGTGTGGTGACCAATTGCTGTGTCTTTGATTCGTTTCCGGGCGTAATTAGGTTTATATTCATCGAAAAAGACATTAAATTCGTCGATTCAAAAATACACAAAATAAAAGAATAAATTACTTACTTATAATTTTCATCTATTTTCAAGCATAATTAACTTTATATTTATCGAACTAGACATATTAAATTCTCTTATTCTTTTCTCTGTTTATTTTTGAATAAGAAGAAATTTAATACACCTTATTCGATCAATAAAAAATAAATTATACCCGAAACTGAAGGCATTTGGACACCCCACAGTAACCGGCGCCCCTAATGAGCCAAGGTCCCGATGTAAATTATAAAGGTTCCAATCCTAATAAATCTTTCTTGGTTATGTCACAGGTGTCGATACATCGGCCATGACCATCATGGGGGTTTTACAGGATCGAAAAGTGACCGGTTCGATATTCGACGATAACTATAGACGAGGTTCAGATACGTGACGAATTGTTGGACGGCGAAGTTCAGGCAGGACACAGGCGCGACGTCGGTGCGTGTTCAAGCCTTGAAAATCGATGGCTGTCCTCGCGAGCGGAGGCCGCAAGGACGAGCTGCGCGGCTCGAACGAGGTGAGGATGGCCGTGGAACATGCCGAGAGCCGAGCCCGGTCCGACCACAAGAGGAGCCACGCGAGAACCGGACGAGAGTTCGCGAATGCGCTGCACCGCGAGGCCGATCAGCTCTATCACAGGTGAGGGGCTGAGGGCGATTCGCCGTTCCTCGGCGGACACGATCTCTTCGGCCGCGAAGGGAATCGCGAGCTTCCCCGAGCTTACGCGAGCTTCCCCGACCTCGCGCGAGCGAACTCGCGGCGAACGAGAGACACCGTAACCTCGTCGAGGGACGCGCGGTCCCTGGACAATTTCCGTGTCCCATATCGGCGCCGGACTCGATCGACACTGACGCCGCGCGCCGCCGGCCCGTCTTTTCGGTACTAAATCGATCGTTCGATGCATTCGATGCATAAAAATAAAGATACGAAGCTTCGAAAAAACTTCGCGACGATATCGAAATAATTTGATTAATGAACCTAATAACGTCCTTTGTTAAAGCACGTACAGAAAAGTGAATACGTATCTATTACATAGGTTATGTATTTACGTATTACTGCAAGCAGAATATTGCGGACGTTTCGATTGCTGCGTGTTAAGGTTAAGATATATATAACCTATTTTCTTGTAAAATGTACACACACAAAGCTACAGTTCTTTGGCTCGTAGAGAATGCACTGTATAGGTTAAGGTACGCAGTCGATAAGTAATAAATAATTGATCGATATTAAACGTATGAAAAATTGTGAGACTCGTTTTGAGAAGACTATACAAAATTACTTTTATTATAAATATACTATATAATACTATAATATATAACTATATAATACTATATAATACTATATAATACTATATAATACTATATAATACTATATAATACTTTTATAATAAAAGTATAATAATACTATATAATACTTTTATAATAAAGGTATAATAATAAGTAATTTTTTATATAACTTTATTACACTTTTATAATAACACCACAGTATTTGGGGCTTTCGCTGTAGTGTCCACATTTAACCAAAAATTCTATTCGAATTATTTCCAAAGAACGCAGGATGATTAAGAAAGTAGCCGCGGCAGAGTTTCGCGTTAGAGTAACGAAGGAAATCAGAGGACTGTTGCATCGGTAATCGCACGGTTTCGATTGGGAAATAATATTATCGCTGGCAGTTTGAACCGCGGGGTCCCAGCGTACGGCCGAGTCTCGGCCCGGCATCGTTCGAGCGCGGTTTTAACGATTTAATCAGCGGAATTAATTTATTCCTTTGGTGCCGCCGGTTCAATTATTCGACCGACCGTGCAGTATCGTTTAATCACTTTTGCATAGTTAATCACGAGGCGTCCGCCGATCGTTCGCGCGATACGCGAATCCGAATAACTTCCTGCAACGTTGTTTCAATGTCGCTGCGTTACAATTTCGTTTCGCGGATCCGATTAATCCGGCCCGATCAAACAGCGCGCGAGCGTTCGCCCCGGCGAACTGCCCGCGCACTTAATGTTATTTACGAAATATCGTTTCCGGCGTTGCGCGCCAACTCGACCGCTAACACCGCGCGAGCCCTCGCGTCGTATGGCAGAGGAGCCAATTACTGTGCCCCGTTAACCGGCCGTCAGGGGAGCTTACGCCGCTGAGCGCAACTGGTGGTTATTTATTATCGTTGATTTATTATTATTGCTTTCTATTATCTCTCTCTCTCTCTCTCTCTCTCTCGGTTAAATAAAATACATTAATTTGCTCGGACATTTTAGGCTCGCCGGTATAGTAATAGACCGCGGATTTTGCAAAATAGATATTATAATATATATATACAAAGTGTTCCGGAAATGACGGATTCCTCGGATCATTTGAAGCAACTTTTTCCTCTACAAAAATGTTCTCCGAGGCACCGTTAACGAGTTCTTAACGAAAGAACAGTGCGCCAATAAGAATCGAGTACGGCTGACGCGAGGCGGCTCGGCCAACCAGCGCGCGAAGCCCAGTTCCGCTCATTGGCTCGGTCGCCTCGCGCCAGCCGAGCTCGCCTCTCATTGGCGCACTGCTTTTCGTTGATAACTCGTTAACGGTGCCTCGGAGAGAATGTTCGTAAAGGAAAAAGTTGTTTCGAACGACTCGAGGAACCCGCCACTTTCGGATTGCGTGACATTTTTGGGACACCCTGTATATATATAGACCTCGCCTCTCGTTGTTCACTGTTTTTCGCCAAGGAAAAAGTTAAATTATATAACCTCAAGAATTCCTCATTTCTCGCTTGTATAATAATTTTGCGACACTCTGTATATGTAGAAGCAAGCTTGGAACAACGTTGTACAGAAATTGTTGTACGTACAAAGTTGAGAGAGATTTTCAAACAGTTCTTCAGTTTTTGCTTGCGAAAATCATAAAGAGCAGTTTTAAAAAGCTGAAACGTGGAAAATATGGGAGATTACAGCGAAGGAAATTGTACAACAAGCGAGGAGAAGTGAAAAAATGTTAACGGACAGCTGCTTTATATTCAAAGCCCGGAGATTATCTCTACATTAAGGTAAAAGCTTTTCGAACGGACGCGAAGTGGCCTTTTTAGTCAGAGAATCGTAGTGCATTGTTTCTGGGAACTATTCTGTTTATGATTTTCAGGAGAATGTGAGACTGTGCGATGCTAAACTGTTTACTAATACGTCTGTTGATTCGTATTAGGGGAACAATAACAACCGTGTTTGGCAACGTTTTGAAACGTAAACAGTTGGGAGCTACTCGACCACTGTCCTAATATAATACATACATGGACGTTTAATTTATGGTAAATAGTGAGCCGTGTCATGGCGATCATGGTCATCGAGGAATTAATATCAGGACACGTGTCAGCCACCGAATGTATTCACGTATAATTCCGTAGAGTAGAGTAGAGTATAGAAAAATTCTCTCTGTTTCAAAGTTCGGCGGCGAATCCTTAAAACGTCTCCAATTGAAGCTACAACCCCTAAAATCATGCGATTATATTTCAGTTTTATAATTTAGTTTCAAATATCAAAAACAGCTTTTCTTGAAGGTATAGAAATTTTGCGCGCCCTAATTTACAACCCCTAAAATCATGAGATTATATTTCAACCCTGCTTGGTGCTCAAAACATGAAAATTCAGTTTCAAATATCAGAAACAGCTTTTCTTGAAGGCATAGAAATTTTGCGCGCCCTAATTTACAACCCCTAAAATTATGCGATTATATTTCAACCCTGCTCGATGCTCAAAAAATAAAAATTCAGTCTCAAATTTCAAAAACGCCTCCACTCGAAGGTACAGAAATTTTGCGCGCCCTAATTTACAACCCTTAAAATAATGCAACCCTGTTTAATGCTCAAAAAATATAAATTCATTCTGAAATTTCCAGGACACCTGCACTCGAAGCTACAGAAATATTTCACGACTGCCTCTGCAACCCCTAAAATCATGCGACTATATTTCAACCCTGCTTGCGATCCAAGAAATGTGTTCCAGCTCCATATCATCCCCATTTTTACACGCGGACAAATTTCGTCCGAGCCATTTCGCAGGGCCATTTGCACCGTGGAAAATCACGCAGCTGCGTTTCGTCCGCGCCGCATTCTGTTCGAATACCGCGCGAATATTTTGTTCTTTCGTTGTCGACAACAGAGGTCGCGAAGATATTTCTCTTTCTCGCACAGTTCCTTCCTTTCGCTCTGCGAGCCGCGCCATGTTTGTCGACAGATAAAGCACGAGACGTAAATCAGCGCGACGGTATCAGCTGGAACGCGGGAAATCTTCCGCCGCGGGTGCCGCCGCACGCTCTCAGGATTATTAACAAAATTCCCGGCGTCCTCGGTTATTTATTACGATCGTTTGATTCGCCGGCGACGCGCGAGATTTCGCAGTCGCGTTTCCCTTCGCCGACATGTCGCTACGATCGTTCGTTCCGCTAATTGCTTCCCGCTTCACGGAGTGCGGGGGCAGGACGTAGTTCCCCGAAAAGGGGGGCGGCCGGCAACGATTAATCGCGGGTTGATCCCGCGCGACGTGGTGGAGTGGGGAGGGGGAAGACGGCCGCGCCACTTAGCCGAGCGAATTCCATAGAGTCGAATCGCAATTTGCAGCGGTGATTACGAGTCGGCGTTGGTGCTCTACCATCGGGCCGCGAATCTGTTTCCACGCGACAACAGTCACAAAGTGGCGGCGATGAGAACAATGGCGACCATAAGTTCCGGCAACAATCCTGCGAGGCCGGCCGCCAAAAGAGCGGCCGCCAAGTCCGAGGAACGGCTAATGGCCAACCTGTGCCCCGAAACCGCCGCCATCTTGGCCAACGAGAAGCTCAAGAGGCAGCCGGAAGCTGCTTCCGTCGCGGAAGTCTTGAGGTATGCTGCTTGCGATTATATATCATAACCTCTAAATCATATATATAATGTAATAAATATATTATTATATATTATTATTATTATTATTGTATTATATGTATAGTATACATATTATATAATATATAATATATATAATAATTATGTATATATATCATATAATATTATTATTATTATATTCTTCCTCTCATTATTATTATTACTATAATTATATATTGATATTATATTATATTATATATATAATAATTTTATATATTATGTATTACTATATTATTATATTCTTCTGCTCCTTATTATAATTATACATTTTTATTATATTATATTTTATTTATGTATAATGTCTACAATAATAATATTACGGTAGTAGTCTACGGAAGTAGACTCGGTGCAAAGATACCGAATTCTTCTGACGGACGCGCGGGTCACGTCCACGAACTAGTCGCGTGCCAATATGGCGGCGCGCATGCGCGCCGAGGACGCTGAAAGTTCGTGTCAACTTCCGACGCGTGTAACTTTCGAACCGACGCGTTCCGCGCATTGAAACTCGCGTTTTCGGCGTTTACTCGTCGACATCTACAGTAATACACAGTGAACAATCGACGAAATTTGGTCCCCTAAAGAAAACTGTAGTCCCCGGGCCTCCGCGTTCAACGTGCTAAAAAAAATGAATCGCTCGAAAATGAACGTTCAATGAATTAGCTCCCTACGCGGTCGCTGTAATCGACCATCGCGATCCCCGTCTGGCCTGCAAAGACACCGATACGTTCGGAGACGGCGTCGACGCGTCTTGGGGGTTAGGATTAAACGAGCCGGAGCAACAGAGCCGCGGGCTTACGGTCTCAACTGGTATCAGCAAGAATGTAACGTAAGCTCCCGGGATCGAATATATTAATCTCAATGGTACAGTCGATTCAATTGGATCGCGTGCACGGTAACTGGACCGGGCAGGGACAAATCTCTAAACCTAACCTGTTCCAGGCTGTTTCAGGCTTGTTCGACCCTTCTGCCGATCCCGGGGACTAATCCCGCACACAGAGCGTCCGCGGATTAAACGCTGAATAGTCTCTTTAACCCTTCGCATTTGACTGATGCGCCGTTATCGTGCCGTACGTGTGTCACACCGTGTACACTGAATTCTCCATAATTGACGCACGGATTGGACAATTTGGCAAGTGGGGACGCGATCATTCGAGCCTTGCCACTCGCGTTTTTATAGTTGTTGGCAATCGGTAACTATAATGTATCAATGTAATTAAGTAATAAATATAAATAAATGATATATATCCTCTTACATAATATAGTATATAATAATAATATTATTAATATAACAATATATTATATTATATGTAATTATATTATATATTATATATATTATCTATCTTATATAATATATATAATATATATTCTCTTCTCAAATTGTCCATTTTTGTGCATAACCCAAGCGTCAATTAGGCAGAATTTACTGTATTCGTTTCCTTATAATAAATGCACAATAGATGGCAGCACTTGCATTAACCACGGAATAACTGAATAAAACGGAAAAAAGAATCTCAAGTAAAGGAAATTAAATAAAATAATTAAGTACCAAATGTACGAAACGATTTTGCAGATATATAATTTAGTTCGATTGCAAATGATATAGTTATCACTGTGTTTATATATATCCGAGAGATTGTTAACTGTAGGTCTTCGATTTGAAAAGAACCGTTAAAAAAATAGTCGAGGTGTCTCCGAAAGCGATAGGTTAGTCCCGCCCGCACGAGTTCCCAAGATCCTTCTAACCTCCACAAAATGGTCCGGAAACTCTCGTTTCCAGCTACTTCGACGACCACAAGAGTTTCTGGAAGACCGTGCCGAGTCCACGATTTTCGCAGGCCCAGTTGGCAAGATCGAAGCAGAAGCTGCGACATCTGAACAATCTGGCGGATAGATATCTCGCGGCGTTAAAGACAGCTTTCGACTCCGGCAAGATGGCCGACACGATGAAGGCGGCGCAGGAGCTGCTGATGGTATCGGACGCGCTCGAGGATCCGAGCCGCTATCAGATCGCCTCCTATCATTATCTGTCCTTGGTCCACGTGGCCGCGAACAGACACGACCTGGCCGTGTGCAGCGTGTCCCGTTTGATTCGCCTGGCGAAGAGCACCGGCGACGTCGTGCAGTTCTGCAGGGCGCTGGTCACTCTGGGAAAGGTGCACCTTAGCTTCGGCCACCTGAACGCTGCGGCGAGAGCGTGGGAGCATCTGGCTGCCGATCTCGACGAGCCGATACCCCTCGCTTGGATCAGACACGAGATTGGCCGGTGTTATCTGGAGACAGGCAAGTACAGGCTGGCGTTGGGGATGTCGCTGAAGTGCCTCGAGGTGGCCGAAGAGGTTAACTCCGCCAAGTGGCTGTTGCATGGAAAGCTTCTCCTAGGTGAGCAAGAAATTGGGCACTCGATTGTTTCATTTAGGGCTAGTGTCCGCGGTATTCGGCCCGCAGTAATAGATACATAACCTAAGTATATAGATACATATGCACACGTATGGTTTCTTTGCATTACGATTTTTAATGTAATTCGTGTTTTCAGAGATTCGATACTTTGAGAAAATATTGAAAAGTATAAATCATTGCTTGCAGCTATTTTTTCCATAGATCCTCCGGCAACACCGTTCAGTCCGAAATGAATAACAATAAAAACCAACATTGAAACAGTATTAATTTTGTCGATGTCTTCCAAGGGCAAGCCCTGGCGAAGTTAGGAAGCTTCGCGGAAGCCTCTCGAGCCCTGCACCTAGCAGCCAAGATCACAGAAGACGAGGGTGACACTTTGTTGCAGTCCTACATCAGAGATCTGATCAAGCAGATGACGCTTGCATTGCGAAGGGCGACACCGGAGGACAGTTCCAGCGAAGAGTGCAAGGTTGCATCTTTGAAGAACGAGACGGTGGAGAAACGGTTTAGAGCAGAGCAGTTCGACAGGCCTCGCGGTGGACGAGGACTTAGCGGAGTGGGGTCCAGTGCAGTCACGAGGAGAGTCACTAAGCAAGGAGTGGGGGCAGGCGACGCATGTGCGGTAGAGTCCCGCACGACGGCGCGCAGCGATCCGGATCGAGAAATTCAGCGACGTTCTGTTGTAACTTTCGAACCATTAGAGATATCGCAATGAAATTTTGAAAAAGAAATTGCTTAAATAGAATTAAACAATCTATTTTTTACTTTCTAAATATGTAGTTAATATTTATGTTTCGTACATGTACAACGTTTTATGGAATACGTAAATTATAAAATCGAGGAACTTTTTTGTAATCAACGCGTAAAAAAGTCACCCGGCTGACAGCCTGCGCCGTTGTGCGGGACGCCTTGCGCATGCGTCGCCTTGCGTAGCGACTTTCCATGACTACACTGACAGTGATTACGTCACTAGGACTTACGACGACCGTCCGATGCTCATCCTATTTCACTGAATCTCGACGCAACCTTCAGTCAACTTTTATCACCTTTATCTTCAACCGATAACGTGTCGTCCCAGGCGGGATCATGTCAAGGTCATGTCAAGGTCGTATTGAGGAGCTAGGGAAGAGGCCTAGAGCCCATTGACCGGTGTTCGTCTGGCCCGAAAATCGCTGCTCGTCCGGGCAAACCGTTGAACAGCTCTGATCCAAAGAATCGAACCGTTTTGGCAGTCTAGCGCAGACGATCCTAATCAGCATGTTCTCTTCAAAGGTGATTGCCAAGTACGAGGAGGAGGAGGAATCTAGCAGCGAGTCGGAAGACGAGGAGACAACGTCGCGCTCGGAGCAGTCCGATGGTTGCAGCTCGGCTAGATCGGATCCAGCCGGCGAAAACGTAGCTACCCGCGGAGACACTACATTCAGAGTTGACGGAGCGGCACAAAAATCGGGGAACAGGGGATCGTCGTACAGCAGCGAGTCCTCCTCGTCCTCCGAAGAGCTCGCAACCGAGGAAACCGGAAGCCCCGCGGAGTACAGCCGGGCGAAGCGCGCGAAGGGGAGAAATTTCGACGGGGGGACAGCGATGCTGAAGTGTGCGGCCAGCGGGACGTCGACGAACACCGACGTCACGAACGCAACCTACGTGATAGACTCGCGAGACGAGGACAGTTCGCCAACAGCAATGAAACCGGGCGACGGATGCGGCAGAACGGCGGTCGAGCCGGAGAGTGGGGGTATAATCAGCGATCGGATGATCGAGGAGCTGGGCAAGCAGGATCTCGAGCTGCTCCAGATGGCCACGGACTTGCTGCTGATGAGTAAAGCCGGTGATCGATCGCCGGATTCCGGAGACGCCGCGCGGGGCGCCAGGATTTCGAGACCCGCCGACAGCGACTACGTTCGACGAGATTATGCGACGCGGTAGCGTGCCGACGACGGTGACAATTGCTGCGGATTGCTGTATACCTTCAGCCCCGCATCCGTTCTTTAGGCGTCTTCTCAATAGATTCGTTGCGATGCGCTTTGCGCGAACTTTCTTCGAGGTTCGCCGCGGTCGGCGATTGGCGAGCGCGAGTTACGGATGTTCCTCTCACGCTTCAGATTGGGAAAATTCGCAGCTTGGGTCGAGGAGATACGATTATTCGAGCCTCGTGGCCCGTTTTTTTTATTGTTGTTGACAATTGGGAATTAATTTGTTTAATAAGTCGCGGACCTCTGGCATCTAGGAAAAGACAAGGAAAATTATACGAAGTCGAAGCGGTAGTTCGAATGAAGTTTGAGATACGTTCATGAAGAGTTATTTCCATGTAACTTAGCTTAAACGAAAGCTGGAAGTGTCTACTTTAAGACAGGGTATATTAGATTGCAATAGAATGACGAGATCATTTTGAAAAATTAAAAGGAATCGACATCTCTGACATCATGGGATTTACAAGATCTGGAAGAAGAAGTTCCGATGGATTTTAAGATACGTTCATGAAGAGTTATTTCCATGTAACTTAGCTTAAACGAAAGCTGGAAGTGTCTACTTTAAGACAGGGTATATTAGATTGCAATAGAATGACGAGATCATTTTGAAAAATTAAAAGGAATCGACATCTCTGACATCATGGGATTTACAAGATCTGGAAGAAGAAGTTCCGATGGATTTTAAGATACGTTCCTGAAGAGCCGTTTCCACGCGACTTAGCTTAAACGAAAGCTGGAAGTGTCTACTTTAAGACAGGGTATATTAGATTGCAATAGAATGACGAGATCATTTTGAAAAATTAAAAGGAATCGACACCTTTGACATCATGGGATTTACAAGATTTAAAAAAAGTTCGGATGGATTTTAAGATACGTTCCTGAAGAGCCATTTCCACGAAACTTAGCTTAAATGAAAGCTGAAAGTGTATACTTTAAGAAAGAATAGATTAGGTTGAAATTGTATAACGAGTCTGTTAGCATCGACGACTGAAGTGTACTATATTTTTTTACGAGAAAACGCGAGGGGACTTATTACAAAAACTAATATAAAAACGAGCCGCGAAGCTCGAATAATCATGTCTCCTCTTCCCAAGTCGTCTACTTTCGTTCTCAAGCTGAGGGACAAGGCGAGGGAAATGACTGCAAACGATTGCTGACTCGACAGAGTTTTCAAGAATCTCCTCGTCCGTCCAGGTCTACGAAAGTACCGAAGGATATTCGTTGTTTTAAGGCTGCTGACATGCTAAGAGACGCGTGTAGCTTTCGCGATAGTGTAAATCGACGAACAAATATATTTTTACAATAATTGTATGAATTATTTGAATTATTTGAATCATTTGAATTATTCGTTGAGCACGTTGGACACCGTGTTCGCGTATCTCTAGTCTTGCAATCGGAGATGAAACATCAAAATAACATTTCAGCAGTTATCTAAATTTTAGAAGCTTCTATTAACCCTTTGCACTCGAATGGCGACTCTGAGGCGACGCTAAAAATTCACACGCTATTTTCAAAAAAATCTCCACATTATTCGGTTCGCCTGTACTCAAATGTCCTCGTTTTGGAACTAGAATAGTCACGAGTGCAAAGGGTTAATAATGCGGCAGTCGCAAGAAGCGTGAAATATTTGTATAGAAAACGGAACGGGGGAACGACTGCGATGAATATTTTAACACTGAATATTACAGTGACGGCGACGATTTTAAATTTCCCAAAAATTACGTGGTCTGAAAAAGAATGCGCGTTTTTCGGGGCCGTCGAAAAGATTATAGGGTGCGCAAAAATCGCGCGTTCCGTTCTCTGCTACGTCGAAAAAAGGGAATTTTAGAACTCCAAAATGAGATTGAACAGAGCGAACGAGAATTTTAGGGTCGTAGAAAAGCATTGTCGAGCGAATGAAAATTTCATTGTGCTCACATGCGAGGTGAACGGAAATTTTGGGGCCCCGAGAAAGACCGTTAAGATACTTAAAAAGATCGTATATTTTATAATGATTATAAAATACGTCTCGGTTAAGCTCGCGGCGAAGAGAAAAATGTAGAGCCAGTCAAACGCAAGGGTGGTCGACGAGTGGAACGGTAGAATTTACTGGCGCACGCGAAAGTGCCCGGTAAATTTCCAGTCCAGGGTGTCGAAGCTGCTCGATGCGGTCCTGACGGTGGTGCTCATGTTAATTGCGTCTCACGGAAGAGATTCATGCGAGCGTTCTGTTTCTGCAAATCGTAGACCGCGTCGCCGTCCGGGCGGAAGCCATTGGAAATCGGGCCAGTTAGGCATCCATATTTCATCGGCCGGGCAGAACGAGTGGGTGGTCTTTGCGGGTGGTGCAATCGAGTAAACCGCGATCCTCCCGGAATCCTCTTTCAGCGCCGTGGATCCTGGCTATTTCGAGCGCGATGGATTATCAGTTATCAGGCGGGCTCCGACGGCCGATTGAATATTCATCCGCGTTGCCGACGCCCGACCCGGCCGAATAACCGATTGCGACGGGCGTGTCCGGGCATCCGTGAAACGTCAAGGAGGAGGCCGGCCGACAAAGAGGGCTCATTTTTCTACGGACAGGTCGAGAGCGTCGCGCTCGGATTGCGCGGTTAGTGCGGGATCGATCGTCAACGCGACCGCCGATTGAATGCTTATTTCGTTTCGTTTCAATCGATCCTTCAGGCCTGGGATTCGAAGCGTTTGCGACTTGAAAGCTTCCTCTCTGCGAGGGAAATGTGCACACAGGGTGTCCTAAAAGTCGCTCGAAATCGGGAAATAAGGGGTTCCCGAGGACATTTGAAGCAACTTTTTCCTTTGCAAAAACTTTCTCCGACGCGTCGTTGACGGGTTATTAGCGAAAAACGGTGACCAATCAGAGGCGAGTTCGGCTGGCGCGAGGCGGCCGATCCGCGGAACTGGGCTTCGGCCGCGTTGCGCGGTTGAGACCCAGTTCCGCTCGTTGACTCGGCCGCCTAGCGTCAGCCGCGCTCTCATTGGTCAGTGTTTATTGTCAATAACTCATAAACGAAGCCGTGGATTGCATTTCTGCTGAGGAAAAAGTTGGTTCAAACGACCTGAGGAATCATCCTGTGTTTGTTTTATCGTTTTCGATGTACGGTAGATTCTCCCTAATTGTCACTCAGCTTGGAAACACAAATGGACAGTTCGGGAAGAGCAGGTACGATTAATACTATTAATTTTGCAATTATAATTGTTGAGAATCGGTAGAAGAATAATATAATATATATAATAATAATATAATATAATAATAAGAATAATATAATATAATAGTAAAAATAATTTAATATAATAGTAAGAATAATGTAATATAATAATAAGAATAATATAATATAATAATAAGAGAATAATATAATATAATAGTAAGAATAATCGTTTCTCCTCTTCCCAAATTGTCCATTTTTGTCTCCAAGCTGAGCGTCAATTAGGGAAAATTTACTGTAAAGGCGACAATAATGTTCTGAGGAACTTAACAGTTTGGTGCACTGCAATGGAGATACTTTCGTCTGCAGTCGGCCTTTGAACTTCAGTTGTGAACGCGACACCACCCTGGCGCCACCGGCGCGCGACATTTCGATAGGGTCTAACATGTTGCACTTGGTCAGTTGGTGTGATAGGTCATAGTTGATCTCGTAACTGCTTGCTGGTACGAGCAGGTACAGCAAACAAATTAAACATATTTTACATTATTAGTCAGCGATTAGTCAGCAGTTACGTACAAAATGGAGACGCTTGAACATTAGCATTCCGCAGAAGTAGCGCAATGGCGTGCCGGTCCAACCTAACCTGGAGGCCTAATCGAGTCTACAGGCGATCTCATGATCTCGCGACACGTAATGTATTATGTAATAAATATATATTATTATTATATATATAATATGTAAGAATATAATATATATATATAATAAATTATATTCCATCAGATTCTCAGGTCTCTCTCCAGTGAAATAAGAATTATTAATCGACGGGAAGAGCGAGATTGAACAGCCACAAATATTAATGAAAATGTCCAATGAGTGCCATTAACGAAGCTCGTTATCGATCAAAGAGCGTTAATGATTGCGAACCGGCGGGAAATGCCCTAAAAAATTCACGAAGTAGCCGGCTTCTGCGATTCGCGTAACGCTTTCAGCGCTGTCGTAAATTTATTTCAACCTCGTCCGTGAAATGATCGCCGATGAAACGGGGCTGATGTGAAATTACACCCCCGCAGAGTCATTTTATTAATATCGGCCGACGAGTGTTCGCGGGAATTCCTGTTTGGCGAGTTAATTGGCGCGAAGATTGAAAATTTACACAGAAGTAATTGCGCGCCGCGGAATAAAATTTTCTGAAACGATTTCGAAAACGTTGCCGACGCGTTCGGAAATATTTCGACGGATAAATGATCGTTTAAACCGGTGTACAATTTCGTTGGAACCGTTTACTTACCACGATTAAATACGATCGAGAAAATTCTCTTGTTGATTCAATAATAATATTTCACCATGAAATAATACTTTTGTTGATTTAGTAGTATATTTCTTCGAGAAATAATATACTTTTGTAAGTTTATTAGTATATTTCTTTAACAAATAATACTTTTGCTGATTTAGTAGCATATTTCTCTTTATAATATCTATTATTTCTTTATAAAGAAATAATACTTTTGTTCATTTAATAGTATAACTATAATAACTTACGTTCGCTGTTCGGACGAAGCGCCGCACGGTTTTCCCTGAAAACACGCGGCAGAGTTTAAGAAGGAACGACTCTCGCTAACAACGTACTACTTCCACGTCTTTTAAGAGTAGAATCCAGCGATTTCCCGGAAAAGTTTAGAACGTTTCCCCGCCGCTTACCGGCGGAATAATTCTTGTTGCGCCAGTTCCGCGCGCGTAATTCTTCGCGGAAAGTTTTCCAGCGTGGGAATTACCGGGACCTGCTTCGCGTCGGAGAAACGTCAATTCCAGGGGCGGCGGAATGTGCGTGCGTAGGCACGAGGGAGGGGGAAGGAGGCTCGTCGAGCATAAAAGCAGCGGCGGCCGGGAAGGGGAGGGGGGATCGGTGAAAGGCACTTTCCGAGCTACCTGTTGAGCTACCTATGTGTTCTAGGCAGGCCTCTTTTGTACGGTCATCAAGGCGGTGGAAATAGCACTCCTCGCGGCCGGATTTTCAAGTCGCCGCCGACGACGTACTGCATCCTGGGACACGTCTCGACCGAGGACCGCCTCAATTACCGTTGTCTCCACTCCTTCGCACGCGTGCATTCGACGCACAACACAGACACTCTGCTCGGCATTCTCGGGGATCTCTCGCGGACGCCATTTGCCACCACAGTTTTCACGGAACAGCTGCGCCTCTTCAGGAAATAATTTAGCACTTCGAAGGCATCTTTCTTTCAATGAGTAATATTTTTGAGAATGTTCTAGCATATTTCTGAGGGAAATTATGTCTTCTATGTATTGCTGATGTCTCTTTTTTTCAAGAAATAATATTCTTCGATAGCTTCATTTGAGAAATAACATTTTTAACCATTTTGCAGGCTTTTGTATTCAGGAGACAATATTTTTTAAAGTTTGTTAAGGCGATTCTTTGAGGAATAATGCTTTTGTTGGTTTGGTAGAATATTTTTCCAAGAAATAATATTGTTGTTGGATTAGTAGTTAATATATTACATCAAGGAGTAATATACTTTTGCTGATTCAATAATGTATTTCTCTCCAAGAAGTAGTACTTTTGTTGATTTAATAACGCACTGTATTCTTCCAAGAAATTTGTTGCTATCTAGTAGTATATTTCTTCATGAAATAATACGCTTTTCTTGTTTTAGCAGTATATTGCATCGAGAAATAATATACTTTTGCTGATTTAGTAGCATATTCCTCCAAGAAAAAATACTTTTGTCAAATCAATAATATATTTCTTCAAGAAATAATACACTTTTGTAGCTTTTCTAGCATATTTATCCCCCAAAAACAAATACTTCTGTATATTTACCAGTATATTCCCTCGACGAATAACATCAAATTAAATGCATCAACAGCCCCCTATAAGAAATAACATGATTCAACGAGACCTGCTAAAATGTTCTTGAATGATGGACAACCATGAATGTAAATAAACGTCCACCACAATGTCCTCCACAATGTCCTCCCTGTCGATTCGAATTACAGCATTATTTCGAACGGTCAGAAATCGGCGAGTTCCGCCCCCCCCCCCAAAAAAAGAAAAAAAGAAATACCGTTATATCTTCCGAAAGTTGGGCAGCTTGTTAATTTTCCGTTCGTGGAACGAGTCGCAGCAAACGTGTCCGTCCGGCTGCGTCTGAAGTTCGGTTAGCGGGACACAAAACCTTTCGGCGCGACGACGAGTGCTCCGCGGGAACAACTCTGTAACGCGTTTAAATACGGCCAACTTTCCGCGAAACAATGGGTCTCCGAAGTCACGGGAGAGCAACACCGGAGCTCTGGCGGTGAAATTGTAACAGGGCCAATTCCCGTAACAAAATCCAGGAGCTCTCATTTCCGTTTATAAACTATACTTCCGTTATGATAAGATATATATAATACTAATATATACCTGTCTCTTATACACATCTAGATGTGTATAAGAGACAGGTATATATTAGTATTATATCTGTCTCTTATACACATCTAGATGTGTATAAGAGACAGGTATATATTAGTATTATATCTGTCTCTTATACACATCTAGATGTGTATAAGAGACAGGTATATATTAGTATTATATCTGTCTCTTATACACATCTAGATGTGTATAAGAGACAGGTATATATTAGTATTATATCTGTCTCTTATACACATCTTGGCGGTGAAATTGTAACAGGGCCAATTCCCGTAACAAAATCCAGGAGCTCTCATTTCCGTTTATAAACTATACATCCGTTATGATAAGATATATATAATACTAATATATACTATATATATAATACTATACACCCGTTATGATAAGATAATATACACATATATAAACCATTGTATTTCGCCCAGGGAACAGTGTTGATTCTAACCTCAGAACCCGCCGGATCTTTCACCAGTGTCATTGTAATTTGTGTATCGCAATTTGTGTAAAACGAAATAAAAGGAGTAGTAAGTTGAGCTACGGCTCAACTACCTTTCTTTTTTATTATCTCTAATCACAGTTTTACGTGACAAAATCGTCGAGGAGAGTCGCGCGAGCCGCGGAACGTTTTCTTCTGTTCCGTAAATTGCCTGTTTGGAGAGACACTCGCGTGGGCGCGCTGCGATCGATTCCAAACCCGGTGGAAACTTGCGAGTGACGGTTTTTAATAAACAGAAGAAGGTTCTCGCGCGATTCTGGAGGAGGTGTTGCCCGGATTTTCGTCCGACGATTTAATGAAAAACCGCGCATCGTTCGTGGACAAAAACCGTTCATTTCGTGGCTTTCTGTTCGACCTAAGGAGCCTTCGTGTTTTCCATCTTCGTGTCGCTCGACTTCTCGGTGAAGAAGTACTTTTTTTGTGACAAATATCTTAACCTTTCGGCGCAATATTTTCATTGGAAATTGTGCTCGGTATGGCAGAAGATTTTTATTTCTCGTTACCGTATTAAGTATATAATTATTTAATAATATGCTCAGTATAATTAAGTAACATGATATATATATATATATATATATATATATATATATATAATATTTATGTATATTATGTATATAATATTATACATATTATGTATACATTATACTTAATTCATAAGAATAATTATAATTACCATATAATTTACATTACATTAAACAATGTAAGTTGGAATTTCGATTTCTCCGTTGGAATTCGAATCAGCGTAAAAAAGAAATGCTATAAAAATATGCATTCTCAAAATTTCATCTGACAAATTATATATATAATTATAATTGATTTTCAGTTAAATGGCCAGGCTCGGAGCAGTTAGCCAGCGATTTCGGTGGAAAAGTGGAGCAGCTTAAAAACTGAAAAGGGATGAAGACGCGGAGATGAAGCCTCGAGCCGTAAGCAAGGAGGCAGTAATAACAGTGGGTAACGGGAGCCGTGCTTCTTGTCCCGTGAAAGACGCTCCTCCTCCTCGACGTGGAGCATAACGAGACGCTTTTTCCCGTCGACGCGCTGCGCGACGGCACGAGGAGGGGAGGGGAGCGGAGGGGAGGGCCCCTACGTCGACGCTTCTTCGACGATCTTGGGCTGCTATTACCGTCGTGGGAGGATCTCGATGCGAAGACAAAGGACTCTCGGTGACACTGGTTGCCAAGCGAAGGATCCTCGGCGTTAGTCAGACATCGAGTCCTGTCCCTCGGTATAAAATGATACGGAACGGACCGGAAACGGTGTCACGTTACAAGTGGCCTGCTCTCGTATTCCCGGATCGTCGGACCTCCTTCTCGATATTTTCTTAATAATTCGACTGCGGATTTTATGCATCTTATACACAAGGTAGCCTTGCTATAAACATGGTTTGTTGGTTTGTTAGTGTGTTTCCTGAAGAAATAATACTTTTGTTGATTTAATTAGTGTAATGTAGTCTTCCAAGAAATTTGTTGCTATTTAGTAGTGTATTTCTTCGTGAAATAATATGCTTTTGTTGTTTATTGCATCGAGGTTATGTCGAGGTACTTACTTTTCCTGATTTAAGTAATACTTCTCCTGATTTAGTAGCATATTTTTCCAAGAAAAAATACTTTCGTTGATTTAGTACTAAATTGCATCGAGAAATGATATACCTTTCTTGGTTTAATAGCATATTTCTTTAAGAAATAATACTTTTATTGATTTAGTAGCATGTTTCTCCAAGAAATAATGCTTTTGTTAATTTAGTAATATATTTCTTCAAGAAATAATGCTTTTGTTAATTTAGTAGCATATTTCTCCAAGAAATAGTACTTTTGTTAATATAATAGTATATTTCCTCAAGACATTTTTTACTGACTCTGGGTCTCGTATAACACGGTTTCACACAATGCGGCATTTTCTAGGCAAAAAAATGAGCAGCCGAGGCACAAAACACTGACGCTGTGTGTGTGTGTTAGGAGAATTCAAGAAGAACTCAATTACTCGCGACAAGGATAAATGTCTATACGTTTCCTGCTTATAATAATATATTAATATTATAATAATAATTATATTAATATAAAATATACTATATAAAATAAAAAATAATAAAAATAAAATATAATGTATAAAATATAAAATATAGAAATAAAATGTAAAATATAAAAATAAAATATAAAATATAGAAATAAAATATAAAATATAGAAATAAAATGTAAAATATAAAAATAAAATATAAAATATAGAAATAAAATATAAAATATAGAAATAAAATGTAAAATATAAAAATAAAATATAAAATATAGAAATAAAATATAAAATATAGAAATAAAATGTAAAATATAAAAATAAAATACAAAATAATAAAAATAAAATATAAAATATAGAAATAAAATATAAAATATAAAAATAAAATATAAAAAAGATATCGCCGGGAAAGGTCCTGCACTGTAACAGTATGAAAATACGTCGCACAAGTAGCATATTAAAAAGAAGTGAAGAAAAAAGACAAAAGATAATGCAATAAAAAAGAAGAAGGAAAAAATAGAAGATAGAAGATAATACAAGTGATCAAGATGTATATAAACAATGTGAAACACAGAAGATAGAAGAATATAATACAATATTGCGAATCAGCCTGTAGCAAAGAAATGATAATTATCTCCGACCACCGGGAGGTAACGGTGTTTTAATATCGAAACGTCGACGGGTTCAACGAGTGCTGTTTCCACGCGGCCGCTGCGTTTCGTGTTCGATTAACGCTCGTCACCGGGCGCGTCAACTTTTATCGAATCAAAGCGCGAAAATAATTAACCGATGACAGCCGACGTGACGACACCCGGCCGCCGGCTGATGGTCCCCCCGCACGAATTTTAATGGACCCCTGACAGGTAGCAAACGGTGGTAGCAAACGCCGCTTTGATATCAAAATAGCCGCGCGCGCGAAACTCGCGTGTATTTTCATCGTCGCGGAAACGGGTATCAATTAATTACAAAGGAATTAGCTCGGTTGCATTAATTTCTAGCCATTACCGTTGAACGTGTCGCGTGCCGCTGTGCGACAATCAGCCCGTGGGCCCGTCGCAGACCGTCGGATTTCTGTACGAAATGATTGCGGAGTGGATTGACGCGCGTCGAACAATTGTGACAGTTGCAAAAATTGTTGCGATATTATAATCGTTTGATCGAGGAAATCTGATATAGCGCAAATAGAACGAGTTATTATACTGTAAATATGCTATAGTTATTTTACTATAATTAATTCATTACAGTCAATTAACATTAAATAACGACAATCAACGTCAGAGTAAACTGTCGACAAATATTAAAAATAGAAGAATTTAATTAATGGAACCGAAACTGGACAGTTAAAATTTACAAATTTTATAATTAAATTTATATAATTAAATATAATAATACAAAATTTATAATAGTATTAAATTTATAATAATATAAATTTATAATAAAATATCAAAGTTATAATATAAAATTCATAATATAAAGCTTACAATAATATAAATTTATAATAATATAAAATTCATAATATAAATTTATAATAATATAAATTTTATAATATAAAATTTATAATAAATTTAATTATAATAATTATATAATTATAATAAAATTAATATAAGTTTTATAATACAAAATTTATAATACTATAAAAGTTACGAATATAAAATTTACAATAATATCAAATTTATAAATATTAATTCAACCCTTTCGTGCTCCGAAAATCCTACCAACATTCAATTTGTTGAACACAATTGTACGGTAAAAATGCCGTTCAAAAGCTAGCGAAAAATCAGCGCGTCAGCTGAAATGAATATTCTAATTTCATTTCTGCTAAAAGGAATTTTCCAATTCTCGAGAGAATTGTTTCTTAATACCCGCGATCGAAGAAGCTCGAGGCCCGTCGGCGACTGGAATTTCCACGATGATTAAGAGCCCGGCGAATCGATGATTAGGTACGAAAATTACCACGCACGTAATCGGGGAGGAAAAAACGGGTCGACCGAAATGTCAGCAGGATAATTGAAATCCGCGGATATCTGTGTGTGTGTGTATCATCATTCGTATTTTCTTATTCGAAGTTGCTTACAGTTTCTAGCAATTAATAGAACTTCGTAGTAGCAAATATTAAATATATTGTTTATATTTATGTATCTTTAATATTAAATATATTGTTTATATTTATATATTTTTAATATATTGTTTGTATTTAATATTTAAGAAGCTATTTTAGCTCGAAACTATTTTAATTCTAAGTCGAAAATAATTTCCTCTGAGCTATACAGTATTTCTATTTCAATTTATTACATTAATATTATTATTATTTATTGCATTTTGTGCATATGAAATTGAAGCCTTGTGACTCGTGCAACAATTACTCTTTTAACAAATTTTTGAAAACATAAACAAGTCTGACAACGTAAATATTATCTTGATACACAATATAACAATTTTTGTTGCTTATTCGGGGTCGCTACTGGAGCAAATGAAATTAGGAGGAAGCTGAAGAAAGCAGAAGAAATGAAGAGAAAGAAGCTAGAAGCAAAAAGAAGAAAACCGGAAGAAAAAGCAAAAAGACAAAGCAAAAAGTAATATGTTAGAATAAGTAAAATCGGGCACCGCTTCTCAAATTGCCAATTTTTGTTTCCAAGCTGAGGGTCAATTAGGGAGAAATTACTGTACGTTATAAATAGCCTTTTGTTCATAAGGCAATGTAAACAATTTACTCCTCTTAATATTCAGTTGCAAATGTATTTTCTGCTGAATATTTGAAATATTATTTAGAATATTAGATTATATTATAATATATTATATTATATTATATATATATATATATATATATATTATATTAAATATATTATATATTATAATATATTATAGTATATTATAATATTAGATTATTTAGAAATTTTACTTTTAGTAATTTTAGATTACTAATTTATTTCACACACACACACACACACAGAAGTTTCAACGCATCGTACAGTAATAGTTTCGAACGAACGCGAAGCAGTGCCATTTTAGCATTTTATCCATTGACGGCCGCCACTGTGCGGCGACCCGTTGTTTTTACAGCGGATCGAACGCAGCCCAGCTTCCACGCGTCTATCGGCGTTCGGGGAATTTTCATCGATTGTTTTCAATTCCCGTGGCGAATCTTCTCTATCGCCCCGTAAAGCCTGCGAAAGATTCCGGATTATTCGGGAACCTCGGAATAGAATGGGGTGTACGCGTAGTCAGGGGATTCTCGTTGAGAACGGACTTGGCTCCTCCTCGGAACAGCTCGTTTCGCCGCGATCGTTCCGATCGGAACTCTTGCGAAATTTTCGAGTCTATATTTTTCATCCACACGACTGTGTCGACTATTCCGTTTCGCTCTCTCTCTCTCTCTCTCTCTCTCTCTCTCTCGATAATTCTCTCTTTCGATAATTCTCTCTCTCTTTCTCTTTCCCAATTTCTCTCTCTCTCTCTCTCTCTCGATAATTTTCTCTCCCAATTTCTTCCTCTCTCTCTCTCTCTCTCTCGATAATTCTCTCTTTCTCTCTCTCTGTCTCCCAATTTCTCTCTCTCTCTCGATTTCTCTCTCTCTCTCTCTCTCTCTCTCGATGTCTCTCTCTCTCACGATTTCTCTCTCTCTCTCTCTCTCGATGTCTCTCTCTCTCTCTCTCTCTCTCTTTCGATAATTCTCTTTCTCTCTCTCTCTCTCTCTCTCTCCCTCTTTCCCTCTCTTTCAGTTTAACAGAGGTTTCATTCCGTCGATAAATAAAGTTATTATTATTTCTTGAATTTCAACAAACGGATCGAACACAAAAATCGATCTAGCAAATAGTTTTTTATTTACCATCTAATATGATTTAATCGCGAAGGCATATGATTTCGTATTTTGTCTTTTCTAATCGCTACTGTTGAATCGTGTCACTTAACGCAGACATCTCATAAAGAGAGAACATATTTTATACCCTCCCCAATTACACAAAAGTTCCAATTGAAAGCTCAAATAGCGAAAAGTATTTAAAGTTATTTCCGACGCTAAATATATATAATTTTATATTATTATTTTCATTTTTATCTACAATTTGTATTATTATTTTCAAATCGGCCGAGATTTCCGTCGAGTTTCGCCCGCGCAGCAGCGAAATTCAAAATAACAAATTCTTCGAAAATCCTTCGATCAGCATTTTCCCGCCGATTGGAATTCTTCGCGGTAACAGGAGACGCGTCGGAAAAACACTTTCGAAACAGCTCTCTCCGTCCGTTTATTCGGCGCGTCAGACCGATTCACGCGCTGAATTACCCGCGAACTTCTCCGTAGAGCTAGTTACCGGAATCACGGCGGCTCGTAAATAAGCCAGCGATGCCCGGCGAATGCCGGACGAAAATCCCGTGATTACGTTGCGCGTCCGAGAGAGGCGCACCGTGGTCCCGTGTGGCGCCATAAAGATTTCAAAAACTCTCCGCAACAATAGCAGATGGGCAACGAGACCGCGGCGCGGCGCGGCGCTGGACCGCCGGGAGCTGGAAGTAGAAGCTGCCAACAATGGTCGGACACCGGTCGGAATATTACCTTTCCCGGGAACCCCTTAAAAAGTTGCTGGGAAGTTTTCTTAATTTACGGCTGATCCCTCGTGAAAGATAAAGGAGCACAGTGGAAGCGGCCGGCAAAGGTCGGACATGGCATAAGCCGCGCGATGCGGATCCCCGTGAATGATGCCCCCCCCCCCGCAAAATATTCGCCCGTGGATCGTCGTCCGCAATTTTAACGGGGCGTAATTCTCGCTCGAATATTTTAATGGCTTCGCGTAAGCCCTCGAGTTCATAACGAGCGTCGAGTGGAAACGGTCGACATTGGTCAGACGTGTTTCAAGCACGGGGACATGGGAATTTTGTCGCGAGGCTCGTTCAGAAAGTTTGTGGGCCGGTCATCGGCCACTTCGGCGCAGTGCG